TTTCATTCTTATACTACAGTTGAAGTATGGAATAGTAACATACTCTATCTCGGTGCATCTTTCCCAAATTTCGCTGTCCCTCCAAGTGAGTGTGTGTGTGTGTTGGTATGTACAGGAGTGTTACTGACAGAGAAGAGGTGGCTAGACTCACTGCAAAGTGTGCCTCGCAGGTGAGCGTAATTTCCTACACACCAACGCTAATCTTCTAGGGACTCGTTTAGTAGCTTTTTGGTTTTGCTTGTTTGAAAGTTTGGACCGGGATATGGTTGTTTGCAGCAATATGGGCAGTCCACAAATTTTGTATTTCTACTACCTGTAGGATCAGAGATTGGCTGAAGAACTGACTGCCCTCAGTCAGAAACACTCCACCGAACTCAACCAAGTAAGGACTGACTGTGTGGTTAGTAGTTTCAATACTCTGTGAATATGTATGTATACTGGTATATAGTTGAGGTCACAGCTATCAAAGATGGCGAGGGACAATTCACCAGCACTGAAACAGACGGAAACAAAGGTAAGCCTGTGGATGTGTCATTACATACTTCAGTTCTGTATTTAACTTGATTCATGTTGTTGTGCGTGAGGTTCCATGATGAAAGAACCCTTTCATGGCTCTTTCGTAGTTTGTGTTCGCAAGCATGTGTTGAACCAGATGCAGTGTGGTTGTGTGTGTCTTTCTAGCAGGTTTTAACCTTCCTAATTGAACATGTGTCTGCGTATGTAGTGTGGAGCTCGTCTGGAGGGGAACCAAAAATCACTGGAAGAGATACTAAGACCTGCTAGGGGAATGCCCACTGCCAGTGGGCTTTCACATCATCTCACCCGCAATGGATCTACTAGAGAGAAGGCTACTCACACACCCACCCTCTGACAGCTCACCACACAACCCAACACAACAAACCTTCAACATTCTCCACACCAATAACGCTCCCTACGACAGGGTCATCCCCTCTCCCTCAAACCTCCTTACCCTCGTCAGCCATAATTGGCAAATTTCTACAGGAGACTGACAGAATTATATCGTGCAAGAGCTCGCCAACTCTAAACCCCCCACGAAGAAATACTAAAACTCCTCCAGAACTGAAAGTTCAGTATCAATCACAGCAGGGAAGTGTGGTGTCAGAATCTCTTCCTTTTCCTCTTACTACCACCTCCTCTACTGGATACACTGATGGTGAAGGATTTGTACCACTACAGCCTGTCAGTCGTTCTGAAGCTAGTAGAGATCCTACAGCTAGAACAATTTCATCTGCAGCTGGAGATGTGCATTCAAGAGGCGGAGAGGAAAATAGAGAGAAAGAGAGAGGGGGAGGCAGAGAGGGAAGGAGGTTAGAGAGGGAAGAGAGCAGTTGTGAGCCTCAGGAACTCGAGGAAATGTTTTCCAAGACTCTGGACAGTATAGTGGACCGTCATTTCCACCAGTTGGACACTTCACTGAGAAAACTTATGACCAAAGAATCATGACGTCTTAACTTGACCTTCACCACAATAACTCATGCAATCTATATTATTTTCACTGCATAATTATAATAGTCTTGACACGTGTAAACAGATAAAGGAGAACATTATTGGCAACCAAAAAATGCTATAATAGTGCAAGTTAATTATGGCAATGATCAAAACAGGGAAGTGTGTGTGTGTGTGTGTGTGTGTGTGTGCTACAGATTGTGTTGAATGAGGTATTCTCCCATCCTCTCCATTACTCCACTGCAGTGGGCTGGCTGTATGCCTGCGGCGTACGTCCCCACCAGTACAGCAGTCCTTGTCTTCACCACACACACCCCACTGTCACCCCCCTTTCTCCCCAACATGAGTCTTCCCCCCTCGGTCCTTAGGAATATATAGTGCTCAGCCCCTAACTGATATTATAGGGAGAGGGAGGGGGCTGATTGCAGTATGTGTGTAAGATGGTAGCTATAATTATACCTTTATTCCGTTCTTTTTCATGAACGACTCTTCTCCAGTGATGTTTGCAACGGCTTGGCGGATCTGCGAAGGTGGGATCTGCAAAGAAAGCGGGAAAACCCTAGCTATAGACATGACTATACCGCTGACCTTAGTAGCTAATTGAGAGTGTAAAAGTTTTTGCTGTATCCCTACTAGCTACGTGTGGTCGCCTACCAGGAGACCAGGGGAAGATGCCCATCTCTTGCCGTCCAAGCCGTGAATGGCAGCCTCCGAGACTTGTCCCGTCCGTAGCAGCCCGTCGTCAACGTAACCCTGCCACCTCGACCGCTTGCTCGGTCGCTTGCCTGCAATCTGCCTGCTCATGCCGCCACAACCGCTGTTTTGCTATAGCTGTCAGCCCCTCCCCCCACATTATGTTCTGTGGCCGTGCGCGTGCGCACAACGCCCTCCCAAGTTGTTGAAATAATATTATCATCATCCACAGGGGCACAGTAGAGAAAGCAACCAGCTAAGAATTGAATCGGGAGATGAGTGGAGAGCTGAGCGACTTCAGCGACCTCAGAGAGGCCGCAATTCGCGCTGTAGATAGCGTCATCGAGGATGGTGAGCAGCAATTAGAATAAGTGACGATATCTCCTATGTTTGTGTGTGTCTCTTGTCAGAGGTTGAAGATGTAGTGTCGTCTATTCACGTTGATCGTGACCAGATGTCTGCCGTGTGGAATCAAGCGCTGGTGACTGCACTACATGCCACTCCTATCAAGCAGTTTGGCATTGGATTTGGAGTTGGATGGTAAGGAGAGGAGTCCTTCTCTGTGTATATACCAGACCTTTAGGTTACATCATAATTACGATTACTTACTACATGAAATGTTATAAGCTCATGTCACTAGCTCTCGTCTGATTGTATGACATTTCTGTTTCCACCCAGGTTGTCGGGCTACCTATTCAGAAGAGTCAGCAGAACAGCTGCATTCCTCGTTGGCTGTGGCTTCCTTTCTTTACAGGTATATATATACATGTATTATATATCATTAATAAAATTCCTGCCTGTCTACAAGGACGGCCAATAATCCACTCAATTTGCAAGTTTTCTCCCTCGAAAATCTGTGTTATCTGCAGGCAGCGTCAGCCCTGGGTCTCATCTCTATCAACTGGAGACTGTTGGGTCAAGCAGCTCAGCAGCGATTGTCCAGAGTGGGTCGGCTTGCCAGCCAGGCCGGACTTACTTCTGAAACTGGCTCTACCTCTGACAAAGTATGTCACCTAAAAAAATAGATTTTGCAAGAGTGTAAACAGTATACAGTTGTTGGTGTAGGCTAGTTTAGCAGCTTTCCCTGTATCCATTCATAACTGTACATTAACTGTAGATTTTTAAAGAAAGAAGAAGGCAAGCCTCATGCTTTATCATGCAGTCATTAGGAGCTTCCTCTCTCTATAAAAAAAATAATGCAACATCAAAGTTCATTTTCTGTGCATGATGCTACTATATATATACCCAGGTGGTGGAGTTCTGTAGAAGACATGGCTATGCGTCCAGTGGGTTTGCAGCTGGAACCGTAGTGGGCCATCACATTCTAACTCACCCCCTCTCTCACCATCATTTTGACATCAGCCAAGCCAATGTATAACATCCATAATTTAATACCCACACACACACACACTGACAAGCACAACACTGACAGTGTTACGAAGACGCACTAGCAAACTTCATCAGAGAATCAGATTTTTATGGCAAAATTTTAATGTAAAGCAGGCGTATGTATATAATATATATACCTGGTCATCTGATTCCACAGGGCTATATTGCATTATAGTAAGACATACGAGGCGTGCAAAACAGAAACAACTGCCACATGAATAATTATGAGAATGAATCAGATAGTTTTATGGATCAGGTAAGTCTTGTTGTTCACGCACTGAATGCGTATCCGTACGTTCAACTTGAGAACGTGTGTGAGCAACTCCTCGGCATAGGCGGTCAGGAAATGCATGGTTCTGATGCTGGGCAGCGGGCACACCACTCCAGCGACGGTGACGTTGTTGTGGACCCTCTTGATGACCACCTCAGAGAGCCACGTCTGGTGCCAGGTCCCGAGGACGAACGAACGGATGAACTGGTCTTCGACTGCCGTCGTCATCTGGTCTTTTCTGCCCGGTTGTCTCAGTGTGCCTGGGAGGAAAATGCAGGGGATAGGGTATTTCTACATATTACACACAGGCGGGGGGAATAGGGCAAATTGAGGTAAATTGTGTGTGGGTCTTTATGGTAACCAGCACTGTAACTATTTGAGCCTGCAAAGGTCTGAAACTTATTTTGCATGACAAGAGTTAGGAGTTTACATAATTATTTATATCATAATTATAGTTGGCCTGAAAAAGTCCATATCGATGTATGATTTGAGAAATGAACAGTGGCTTGGAAAAGCTAAGGAGTATGGAGTATACTTGTGTTCCATGAGTTCCAGCTCTTGGTGACTCCTACGCGGTATGGAGGGTTGGCCTGCTCGTAGGTGAGCGGCCGATCCCGCGTCGCCGTCAACTTGTAGTGGCCCGAGCGTTGCACGCCGGCCGTGGTGCTGATTCTTCTAATTAACGCCCACCACGTAAAGTTCGCAGTTAGTCCTGTCGCCACGGGTGAACCGCCTGCCTGTAAACCAAGGTACGGTGGGTAAGGATACCTCTCCGTATAGCATTTAGCTTCAAATACCATAGAGAAGAGGGACATCACCACAAACCCTTACACAGCGGCTTTTCTTGATACGCATGCGCAAACGTAAAGTGGGCGTGGAGACCGGGGGACCCCCGCCGCCCACACACTTTTAGCGCTCTGCAGTCCAGTCCGGCGAATGTAAGAGGAGAGGCGCCATGTCTTCGTCTTCTGGAGGTATACTTGCAACTCACACGAACTGTCTAAAGGCCTTTTATGGATCATTTTATATACCCCTCTATAAGGACACCCCTAGTAATGAGGAACTGCTCTAAAGGACACCTTTCTTTTTCCCCTGCAATAAACAAGGACACCTAACTATATAATACGGAGCATTTTTGCTGTCCCATTGGTGCTTTACCAGTAAAACTAAAGTGTTGGTGATTTGTTCTTGTAGGTTGGTCTTCGCGGCGACCGAAACCAGTCAAGTCAGAGGGAGAAGTAGTGGACTTGGGAGCCACGTTTGGGATCAGCGTGGGCAGTGACAGCGACTCTAGCGACGCCGAGTTCGCTCCAGAGACTGCGGAGAGAGACTCTGCGGACTCTGGTGGGGGGAGTTCCAGTGGAGAAGAGGGGGGAGACGAGGGAGAGGAGGGAGAGGGAGAGAAGGAGGAAGAGAAAGGAGAGGAGGGAGAGGGTGAGAGAGAGAAGAAGGAAGAGGAGGGAGAGGGTGAGAGAGAGAAGGAGGAAGAGAAAGGAGAGGAGGGAGAGGGAGAGAGAGAGAAGGAGGAAGAGGAAGGAGAGGAGCATGTGTCTGAGGCAGTTTGCGAAGTGGAAGACAGTGGAGACAATCATTCTAAGGAGAAAGTAGGTAAAGAGACTAACATCGCAGAGACATCGGAAGAAACTAGCAAAGATTCCGAAATGGCGTCGCAGTGTGAAGAAGAATGCAAAGACAAGGACAGAATGGGTGAAAATGGTGAAGAGAATGTGGGAGACTGTTCTGTGAAGGATGAGGAGTATAACCCTCTCATTGTGCGTCGCTCAAACCGAGCCATCAAGCCCACCAAGGATGTTGACCTGTATCTTCTGGGAGCAAAGTTTGGTATCGATGTGGACGGTCTCAGCGGGCCGGAGAGCAGCGATATTGAGTTTGCCCCAGCCGATGACTCCCCTGGTAATTAACATACAGCTGTATATGTATATAACCTCATTACGATGCTAACCACCAAGTAAAGAACATGCTAGGATCATGATAAATTTAGGGTGTCCTTTATTTAGAGGTTATATTAGCACATGATTGATTTATATAATAGAGGTGTCCTTTTCAGAGTGTCCATTATTATGTTCCACTGTAGTATATATTATTGGTTGATCCACACATGCCCTTGTTCTTCTACTAATGGCAGGCTCCCTGAGTGAGTCATCGGTGGATGATGCCGCTCATGAGAGTGGGATAAAGAGAAAGGGGAAGAAGAAAGGGGGAGAGGGAGGGGAGGAGGAAGAGATGGAGGTGGGCGTGGAGGCTTCAACTCTACGGACACAAAAAGGTCTCAGATTTTCACTCGTGTGGTTTGCTGTGATTATATGACAGCTGAGATAACGTTTCCTCGGTAGGGTTGTCAGAAGACGAATTCAGTCGTAGTGTGAGTGAAATGAGCATCACTCAGGTCAGCTGTACAATATTAGCCTCCTGGTTTTTATTTATGCTGCAATATGCTTTATTGATTAAAGTGAGCCCACACCTTGTCATCTGAATAGCATAATTTTCTGTTCATAGACGACATCTGGTGATAGTTGTAAAACTGCTAGAGTTTCGTGTTCGCTTGCCAAAAAGAGTTGCATGAGTTCTGACTGGTGTATTAATTTTGACCTGTGTATAATGTATGTATAATTGACCTGTATAATACTAATTTCACCATTGACTCCGACGTTATCAAACTGTTTTTAATACCCATGCCCACAGGAGGCGATGCAACAGGTGAAAGTGGAGATACATGCTCGGTGCCTGTGCCTCGAGCAGGTACATACTTTATATCAGTACGCGTGCTCGATAAGAGATACACACTGTGTCCGTGCCTCGAAGACAGGTACTATAATACCATACAGTACAGAGTATACACACGCGTAGCCTCGAGCTACTTTATATCAGTAAACGTCCTGATACAGATCACACACACTGTGTGAGTGTTGTCGTAATGTCTCTCGATCTCTCCCCAGTATGGATGGAGATATAGTCGAGTGTGATCGTTGTGGGATCTCAGTTCACGAAGGTGAATGCAACCTATATTATAATGGGTCACAGTGTATATTCGACCTCTGCAACTCTCACTCTGTATCTCATACGTTTATATGTAAATAGTTGAGGTTCAGGCCTTTTTTGGTATTAAGCGAAAGGTGTACTGCACTGGACTTATCAGCTTCATAATTATACATAAGAATATGTACTTTGCCGAATCGTTCAGTTTTCATCAGTGGTACTTTATGCAGTGGGGACCTCTCTCTACATCAAGATGGTAGAACATACCTCTCCAAAAGGACACACTTCTTCCCCCAATGATGACATATTTCCAAAGACACTTTCTTTTGTTGCATTCGTGCATAGATTATACGGGCTGCGCTGTATCTCCACTCTATGTGTATATAGTGATTTTCAAACGGCATAAGAATGTTAGGGGTTTTTATCAAGTGACAGCTGTGGCCCCCACTCAGGTTGCTACGGTGTACCAGAGGATGCAGCGGGAGGGGACCAGAAATCCAGTGTCTCGTCGTTCACCACAATTCCCTGGTTCTGTGACACCTGCAAGGCCGGGATCGACCCTGTCACCTGCGTACGTACAATATCCCCTTGTTTCTATTTCTGTGTCTGTGATGTGACATAATGTGTGCTATTTATAGCCCTGCGAGCTCTGCCCTATGAGGGGTGGTCTCTATAAGCAAGCAACTAATGGACAGTGAGTCCCATTCCCATATCTCTATTCACCCATTCCATATCTCTATTCACCCATTCCCATATCTCTATTCACCCATTCCCATGTCTCCATACACCCATGTCTCCATTCACCCATGTCTCCATACACCCATTCCCATTGCTCTAGCTGGGTCCACATGGTGTGCAGTCTCTATACTCCAGGAATAGAGTATGTGGAACCTACGCTATTGAGTGGCGTCACTCTCGACTGCATATCGGCCGCTAGATGGGGTGCAAAGGTCAGCCAAAGTGGGTGGGGCTAGCTGCGCAAGAGATAAACTATTACAGGTTTAGGTAGTGATACAGTAAGGAAATGGATTTCATTTGCCTTTTGCAAGGATGGAACGAAACGAGGCGAAAGAATTCCATTTTTAGTAACAGTTTCTAAATTTAGCCCAATTTGCTGCCGAGTTCCTGTAAAGTAATTAATAGGTGGGTGTGGTTTCTGCAGCGATGTCAGCTGTGTGACGACGAGTTCTACAGCCGGACTGGAGTGTGCATTGGCTGTGACGCTGGTCTCTGTAAGAGCTTCTTCCACTCAACTTGGTACATGATGCAATACCGTTTGAAATTCCTCTTGGACGATTATTTCTCTTGCAGTGCTCAGCAGCAAGGTCTTCTCTGTGAGATGGACAGCGATGACGAAAATGTGAGGCTATGACCCCACATTACACCTGCTGTCATTACACAAATGTATGTATGTATGTATGTGGTTGTAGACGGACGTGGCAGATCCTTACTTTGCCCACTGCAGAGCTCACTCAGACAAGACCACCTTGAAGAGAAAGGTACGCACGTGTAACTAAAACCATTGGCAAGCAACGCAAGCAATTTTCGCACATGTTAAGAATCCAGGTTCATTTTTCTCGCATATTTAGAATCAAACTCAATTTTTCGTGGTACTTAGAACATTGTGGGGTGTGCAGTGCCCATAACATGCTTATGGTAGGCTCACTTTTCTTGCCAGTTATGTAGTGTGATTTTGGGGAAGATAAGAGTGTTGTTGATATTGTCTATTGGTTGACTAGAGGCGGGATTTCCTGACTGTCTTGAACCAACAGAAAAGATTCAAGTTCAATGAAAGTGATGAGAGAGTAAGGCTCTAGTAGAGGCACTGTCATATTACTGCATTATGGAAGCACTTTCTAAGTGAGGAGGCCATTTTCTTCTCCCTCCCTCCCTCTCCCCCTTCTCCCCCTCCTCTCTCCATTATAAGACTGTGCACTATCTGAGTGACGCCATTATCTCTTCCCCCTCCCTCCTCTCTCCATTATAAGACTGTGCACTATCTGAGTGAGGCCATTATCTCTTCCCCCTCCCTCCTCTCTCCATTATAAGACTGTGCACTATCTGAGTGAGGCCATTATCTCTTCCCCCTCCCTCCTCTCTCCATTATAAGACTGTGCACTATCTGAGTGAGGCCATTATCTCTTCCCCCTCCCTCCTCTCTCCATTATAAGACTGTGCACTATCTGAGTGAGGCCATTATCTCTTCCCCCCTCCCTCCTCTCTCCATTATAAGACTGTGCACTATCTGAGTGAGGCCATTATCTCTTCCCCCTCCCTCCTCTCTCCATTATAAGACTGTGCACTATCTGAGTGAGGCCATTATCTCTTCCCCCTCCCTCCTCTCTCCATTATAAGACTGTGCACTATCTGAGTGAGGCCATTATCTCTTCCCCCTCCCTCCTCTCTCCATTATAAGACTGTGCACTATCTGAGTGAGGCCATTATCTCTTCCCCCTCCCTCCTCTCTCCATTATAAGACTGTGCACTATCTGAGTGAGGCCATTATCTCTTCCCCCTCCCTCCTCTCTCCATTATAAGACTGTGCACTATCTGAGTGAGGCCATTATCTCTTCCCCCTCCCTCCTCTCTCCATTATAAGACTGTGCACTATCTGAGTGAGGCCATTATCTCTTCCCCCTCCCTCCTCTCTCCATTATAAGACTGTGCACTATCTGAGTGAGGCCATTATCTCTTCCCCCTCCCTCCTCTCTCCATTATAAGACTGTGCACTATCTGAGTGAGGCCATTATCTCTTCCCCCTCCCTCCTCTCTCCATTATAAGACTGTGCACTATCTGAGTGAGGCCATTATCTCTTCCCCCTCCCTCCTCTCTCCATTATAAGACTGTGCACTATCTGAGTGAGGCCATTATCTCTTCCCCCTCCCTCCTCTCTCCATTATAAGACTGTGCACTATCTGAGTGACGCCAAGACAGAGTACACGAGGTTCTTCAAGAGGATGATCAACTACTATCGTCCAGAGCTGACTGCTCATTTTGAGGACAGATTCTTCCACTTCAAACCAAGTGGTAAGGAACACATTAGCACGTTACTATATATAGAAAAAATGCAACAAATTTTGAACGTGAGTATATAGTTCAATTTTTCCACGTGCGTAATAATTAAGAATCACCCGTAAAACATTCGGTATGTGCAGTGGTAATACCCATCACATATTTTATAAAACAATCCTGCATTGAGACGACTACGTAGATATATGCTAACTTTGCTCCCTAATAAGATTAGTGTTTATGCAGTTTGTGCAGAAGAGCACTCCACCTGCCGAAGAAATCTATCCGTGCCTGCACTTACGCGTGCTTACATAACTCCATCCACTACTTCAGTAGTGCAAGAGATGTATATATATATATGTCTCAACAACTTGGTAGCGAGGTAGAAAGGCAAGGCAAGGCAAACAAGTCAACTACACCCAGGACAGCTCTTTCTTTTCAAAGAAAAGAAGAAGAGTTGGTTGCCCTGGGTGGGATTCGAACCCACGACCCTCTGCGTGTACGGGTGTGGTTCCTTGCGAATGTGCAGTTGTGTGTACTACGTGACGGTTTCTTCTCCCCCTCTGTTCTTCCTCCAAGCTCTGAGACGGTTGACAAAGAAGGCACAGCTACTTGGGTTCAGCATTGAGGTAAACACAATGAATATGTATGGACACACCTTTACGTCAACAACCTCTTAGCGCGACTATATGCACTTTTGAATAATTAATGAGCGAGAAGGAGTTGTGCGAAGGCCGGAAATGGTACTATATATGCGTCTAGGGCATGCACTTTGTTGCGGTAACTCTTACGCAAAGTTATGACCTTATACCTACAACCAACACTGTATATACAGTATTACAACAGCAAGAGGATTTTAAAGGGAATGTGGCAGTATGTAAGGACTAAATTTAGAAAGTGTTACTAAAAATGGAAATTAATGCATTCTTTCACTGGGCCCTATTGTTTAGTTCCATCTTTAGAAATTTGTTGACCCCTGTACATTCATTGTCACATTCCCTTTAAGAGTGTATTAGCACCAGATTAAAACAAGTGTCCTTTAGTTCCTTATCAGAAGTGTGTCCGTATCTCATCGTGCACAGATGGAGCAGAGTGTCCATAAGAGAAAGATTGTTCCTGATCTCACCATCGAGTTTGTTAACCACTTCAACGGTGAGATTTTGAGTGTAAATGGCTTGTGGGTGAAAGCTATAAATCACTACTAGTAGGCCAACATAGGTATACAACTTTGATACAAAAGTCTATCTGAGTTATAGTCTATTAGCATTCACCGGAGCCCAAGCCCAAGAATTAGTTAGTTGTGTAAACTGTTTATACAGGCACCAGCATACTTTACTTAATGAACTTTTGACTGATACGGTTTAGAACGCAGTAAAGCAAATCATCAGAACGGGAAAGTTGCGAGGACCCCAATGGTGTTAGCGTTTTTACAATTGGATTAAAAAAGGAGTTGCGACAATTTTACTGAAGTCAAATTGACTTTAGTGATGTAAAGGCCGACTGTACTGTACAGCCAGCATTATATACACAGTGCGGTTGTGCTAAGTCGCTACACTTTGACTGATGTTGCAGTTCAGTAGCAGCAAAGAACTTTCAATACAAAAGTAGTTGTTAGTGTAGCATCTTGCATCTATAAAGGGTGATTGCTAGCAAAGATGTCCTATGCAACTTTGCAGTAAGGGGATAATATAATGTCCACGCATACAATGAAATATTGCATTGGCCCATTATACGCATGCATTGAAGTTGCTTATTGCAATGTGTGTATTATGTTGGCCTTGACACACTTGTTGACTCTCGTTGCATCATGCACTGGCCCCCGAAAATACAAAATTCTCACAAACATAGAAAGGAAACCTAGAAGCTTTTGTTCTGTATCGGTGAAGCGTTCGTGTGGAACACTCTCTACCGACATGCATGCAGAGCTGTCATCCTCTCCGCACGCTGCAATGACAAAAACCAGAAATCGCGAAACTTCAATGAAACCTTACAATGTTTTCTGTTCCAAGGGTTCGACGCTGTACAAAGGACGGCGGTTGAAGCATTCGCGTGTTTTTTGGTGTCTTGCTTAAGCTCTGTGGTTGAAATACATTAGTCTTATGTAGTAGAAGTTAAGGTTCTATTGCAAGAATCGCTGCATTCGATATACGTACCAGTCTTCGACTGCATCTGGGGAACTGCGTGGTGTTGACGCTTTTTCCCCTAAGGAAAAAAAGAAGACCTGCCCTGGGTGGGATTTGAACCACGACACTCTGCAGTCTAGGCAATCGCTCCACCAACTGAGCTACCAGCTCTTAATAAGTGTACGGTATATTGCCAGAGGGGTGTGAGGCTGCCATTATTTTTAGAAATACCTAGGAACCGTCTCTAATCCGGACTGAATAAAGTGTCCGTATTAGCGAAGTGTCCTTGTTTTCAAGGATTAAAACTGTTCTTTGAAATATCCCGCATTCAAACAACTAGGTAGGCTTGTTGCTTCACTCGCCAATTATTGCTAGAGCGACAGAGCCGGCAGAAAGAGCTACAGGAACTGGAGAAGAAACTAACGGCTGCACATCAAGATCTGAGAGAAGAAGAGCTGAAAATGAAACACAAGGTATGTATATAATTATAGACACTCAGTATATTCTGAATTAATAGACATGAAATTAGGTTTTCATCTAGTGTGATGTTACTACTTTATCAGTGCTTACTTCAAAGACGAAAATTAGAAGCAGAATTACATTGAAGCGTGAATCATGCTAAATATTTTGCAGGTATATGCATTACTGGAGAAATTTCCAAGGGGGCAAACCATTAATGGAGACCTTCACAAGACTGTAATCATTACGGCCTTATTTCCGTCTTTCTGACTCTGAGAATTAGCACAATCTCTTTATTTTAGGGGCTGGTTTCCAACACCTTCCCATGTGGTCTAGTGGTTAGGATTCCTGGCTTTCACCCAGGCGGCCCGGGTTCGATTCCCGGCATGGGAAACTTTTTTCTTTTTCTCACATACTCTGTGAATACACATTCTTTTTGTAAATTTCCTCAATTAGTATAGCATGCGCAATTTCCCCACAATTATTGCGTAAGAAAGACTGGCTTGCGAAACTCGTACCATATAAACGGTACTGTTCCGTTCTTCAGAGTATTTTTATAACATCTGAATAAAAGACACCTCTGAATAAGGAACGGTTTTTGCAGCCCCATTTGGAGGTTCAGTATATACACAGGAGAATGTCAGGCAATAGCATGTTTCCTGCAGGTGGTTTCCATGGAAAAGGAGTTGAATGCTCTGAGGATCGAGGGGCAGGAACTGAGAGGACGGCTGTCGGCTCTGGTGGTTAGTCTGAGCCGGCTGTCAGGGGAGGCTGTCACTGAGGGAGAGGGAGAGGAGGGGGGAGGGAAGGAGGAGAAAAGAGAAGGGAGTGGGTGAGTGTGTGAGTGTATTAATAATACAGTACAACCTTGTATATTACATGCTCTCTAGTCCAGACACCAAATTACATACAAGAACTGTTATTAGGGTGAAAAGGTGTCCTTACTATATACAGAGCAGTTCTTGTGCCCAGATCTGACATAACAAGTTAGAGACTGTGTCGAATAGCATTTCTCGGGAGCACCAAAAACAGCAGGAAACTGTCAAATGGAAGAAGTATTTCCCAAATTGAGAGGTATCTGAAATATGTTGGGACAAGCAACTCATTCAATAGCTTCCCATAAAGTTTAACAAATCGAGTTTTTGTGTTTTGTGTCAACAACGAGGTCACATAGCAAGGGCAACGCAACTATGCACACCAGAAATTCTTTCCCCAAAGATGCTGCCCTGGCGGTGGGATTCAAACCCACGACACTCTGCAGTCTAGACTGAGTACTTTACCAACTGAGCTGTACCAGGGCAGGTCTTTGGATGCCATGGGCATCTCCTTAAATAAGCACATTTTGGCTCTTTCTCTCTCCTGTACCATTGCAGAGAGCCCAAGTGCGCAGTGTGCGACAAGAGAGAAGACAGCCATCTGATGGCGCTGTGCGACACCTGTCAGAGACACTACCACATTCACTGTCTCGACCCACCACTCTCCAGAGTTCCCAAGAAAACCAGCAAGTGGGGATGGTGAGCTGGGTTTTATACACAGCAGAAGATTTCCTCTAACCGGATGGGACCAGAAGAAGTGTCCATATTAGTGAGATGTCTGCAGTAAATTGCATGGGGTGAGCCTTCCGTATGCTAGGCTAACTATTCGGTATTTATCTTCCAACAGGCTGTTTAAAATAATTGGTGATGATACCTTGTGGGTAAAGATGCGCTGCTTGTGCCGCGTATTAATTTGGCAGAAGATTCTATGTGGGTTCGCCAAACCACTAAATTGAAATGACTGGCAAAATTTCTGTTTAAGCCAGATATAGTTTCTTTTTATATGGTCGGTGTTCAGATTTTGATGCAACATGAGTTATATTTTTTCTCCAAGGGGAAAAATATTTTTCAGGTGGCAGAGTGATATCTTTTCCCTCATTTGATTCCCAGGCAGTGCCATAGATGTTGTATTGAGAGTGGTGACGATCTTGCTCCTACAATTGCCACTTTTGACGAGCCAGCATCGCGCTGCGGACGTAAAATCAACGCTCCAAAAGTGTTCACATTTCCCGAGGACCAGGTACAGAAATAACAGCTGTCAGTTTGAGTACCATTTACCGGAGGCTTTATTCATACCCATTCAACAGGTAAAACAATCAAAACAGGGCAGAAAGTCGGTTGGAAAGTCCAAAAAAGCAAAGACATGAACAGCTGTCATCACCCCACCTGTGCGCTCTGTGGTTTTTAGTCCCTGTGTGTGTTGTACGCATGCGCATACGAAGACGCGACTTGTGTGAGCGCGCGAGGTCGTTCTCTCTTCGGTTCCCTCTCTAGCGCGGGATCGAGAGGTCATGTCTGCGTCGGGAACTAAGGAGACCTGCATACTAGAGGACCCTAACGCCGTAGGGCACATGGACGCGCTGTTCGACGTCCTACGGAAGCCTAATAGCGGCACCAGCGCGGGGAGAAGCGCTAGCAGTAGGCGAAACTCCAGGTCCAACGGTGGTAACAGGACGGCCGCCTCGGCTGCCGCGGAGCTGGTGTGCGGAGGACCTACCGCGGACGCGGAGTTTTTACTGGACGCTCTGTTTGCCGTGGTCCAGACGGATTCAGGCGGCGGGAGGTGTGGAGGGAGAGGAGGAGGGACGGGACGAGCTGCTGCAACGACAGCAATGGCGAGAGGAGCTGGTGCTGCGAAGTCGTGGAAAGAGAGAAAGCTACCCGCGTCTTTCTTCGACGCTGGTGACGGTGCATCCACCGGGCTGTCAGCGGGGAAAGAAGAGACGTTGGATGCTGCTGAGGGTATTGAAGATGGATCCCCCATCCCTTCCCCTGATTCAGAATCCAGTAGGCAAGTCACTAACTCTTCCAGTCACCCCGGACTTGCTCAATTGCCCGTGGTCCTTGTCAATAAAAGTTCTACGGAGTCCCTTACTTTCTACATAGAGTGAGTGAGCGAGTGTGTGTAGTTGTGTGTGTCTCTGTCTTTGTGCCTTGTGCTGTGTATGCCTGCAATTTTGTGCATGTGTGGTATTTGTGAGTGATGGCCCTGAGGAATGCATACCAAATTCCTAATCCAGAAAAAACATCTGTAGAGTGTGTACTCGATGAATGTGCCAATACTGCACTGTAATGCTCGGGAATGATCGGAATCTTCCACTGTTTCCTGTCCCACTTGCAGTAAACACCTTCAGTGCAGGGTAAACATGGAGCCGGCTCTCGAGCGGCGACGAAGACTCGCCAGGGGCCGGGTCCAGAAATATCGCTCCATGAAGAAACGCAGGAAACCAAGAAAGTCGGACGGTGAATTGGGAGATAACAGTGCATCCTGTTCTTGAACCCACTGTCACACAAACACACACAGTATACATTATTATGCCGAGCAACAACATTATACATCATAGAGCTCTCCTGATATCAAATCACTTTTTATGCACGTATGTAGTAAGCTCTTCAACATACATACAATGTTCTAGTGTGTCTAAAGACTTGGTTTGTAAAGGCTGGGTGTCTACATTGTGGATATATAGGAGATGAAAGGTTAGTGGTATATAGCATTTTTCACTTCTCCTTTAAGTTGGCGGTAAAAGTGTAGAACTTTAGCTGGTTACCGGCCACCCCAACGCAGGAGCTGGCTGAGCAGACCAGCCGATTGAAGCCATCACTGTGAGGGGAGGGGGAGATATTACAAACAAAAGAGAAATGGTGTGAGGGACAAAAGAGGGGGAAAATAGGAGGGAAAGGAGAAGTAAAACAGAATGAGAGGGGGAGGGGGCCAGGGACGTGAAAAGGGGGGAAAAGAAAGAGATGGTAGACAAAATTGTGCGAGAAACAGAGAAGGGGAAAAGGTGGTGCAAAAGGACAAGCAAATAGAGTGAGAGCGGTATAATTATACAGCGGAAAAGAAAGGAGATAAGAGACTAACTGTTGTCGGAGGGCTACAGATCCTCCCAGTAGAGTATATCTGCTCTCCAATTGAGCAGTCGTCCCACCAGGCCTGACTCCTGCAGTTTTTACCCAGCGGTACACTCGAATGGAAAAGTCAACTGAACACGACAGGACTCTAAATCTGTCCACATACAGGTCGGTGACCCTTCCCTTGTGGTCACTGAATGTCTGCAACAGCTTCCCACTTTTTGGGTCCAGGACTCTTATGCAACCCTCCCCGTCTCCTGTAATAAATAGGTCGTTGGCAGCCCCCATGCACAGTGGGGGAGCTTCGTTTGAAAATGTCCTCGAGGGAGTGTAGATGTTTCTCTGATCGTAAAGAGCCGATCTCCGGCTTTGGGTGCGTGAGTCCAGGTGAGTTCCCACATCCCATAGTGAGATGTCGGGTGAGCTTATGGAGGCTGTTGCTAGGCAACGAGGCTCCACCCAGCACGAGGAGCCAGGCGGTTCACTGGTGTGAAGTGTGACGTGGGGAGGATCAGGAGAAGGGGAGGCAGTGATGGGGGAGACTTTTGACAGATCAAAAACCTGTAGTGACAGGATGAACTCACAATCAAAGTCCACAATAGTTATACTGCATAATGTGAAGTTAGTGGATGTTACAGTGAAGATGAGGTTCCAATACTAATTTGGTGAGATGAGCTTATTATAGTGCTTGAGACTTTATAATAATTCAACAACAATGAAATTCTTACTTGAATTTCTTCAAGTTCAGACTCTAAAGAGAGGAGGCCGGCAGGCGAGAGACTCCACCCACCAGTAGTGGCCACAGACTGGAGCTGGAGAACCGGTTTGACTGGCTCTGAAACCTGTTTCTTGCTCTCGGTGCTGGAGACGACATCATCGCAATCCCACATCTCGACCTCCCCATCAACAGTCTGTGCCTGGAGATTGTATATACATACATTTATCTAAACTTGATGGACATCTCAGTTCACTATTATAGATTAACAAAGAGAACACTGGAACCATTATTTGTCAGAGATTTTCTGTTGAAGCTTATTGAGGCTCAACTTGTAAGGACATATTTAGTGTACAGCTGGTGAAGAGGAACAATCCCACTTTTATCAAACGCAGTAATAGAGTGGCATGGTTTTAGACTGCCACATGACTGTGTGCATTAACATTGCTCCTTTTTAGTTCACGTTAGCTTATCAGAAGGAAACGTTGGGAAAGATAGAGACTTACCAACAGAAACACACTGGGAATGGTGCTGCTGTTCTTGATGCTGCCATACATTAGCTTGGAGATGCCAGTACTGGAGCTAACTGTGGCTCTGAGATTCCACTCCCTCGCACCCCAAATCTGAACCGAGCCATCGGATAGTCCCAGGGCCACTTCACTTCTCGTCTCAGAGACTGCGAGGCAGGAGATTAACTCATTATCCAGGGTCCACACAGCTTTTCCCTGTTTGAGTTGGGACAATCATTTTTTATCTGTGAAGTAGGGAGTGAAGTCTAGCAAAAGCTTTGAAGGCATAATGTGAGTTTTCTCTAGAAAAGAGGGGAAATTTTGTAGTCATTTTTCTACCATATCGACTTACCTGAGTCACGTCCCACGCTTTCACACTTCCATCACCAGAGAGACTAACGACCAGAGGATGAGAGGGGTTCTCCCAATTAATGTCTCCTCCCCCAGTCTCCCTTAGCACTGCTACTGAGACAATGTCCTTCTCGTGGCCTCGCAACGTACGAACCTACACCAAGACACAGTGATGAGTCACGATTCTGTTAATTAATTAATTAAAAGTCCATAAAGAATTATGGTTGACACCTATTAGACAGTTTGCAGAGGATGACACACACATCGGGGATGGGTCTGTGCACTATAGGAGGCTTTAGTGTTTCCAGAGTCCCAATACATTATGTATCAACAAGTGGGTTGCACTAATCAGGATATGTATAGTTTCTCAATTGTTTCTATAGCTAGTGCAGAGAAGCTATGGATCTCAGAATTTGAAAGTAAGTGACAACATTGTATCTTGGCTCACTCTGTAGTCTCTTAGCGGTTTGCCAGTGTCCATCTTTGCCTCCAAACCTCGCCTGGCGGTAAAGTACCTCCGCCATCGCTGGGCGCCTTCAGAGATCTGGTGAACGTCGCAGAACGCCCATCTGCTCAGACTAAGTCGCCTGCAGCACGAATGCAAACAGTCAGCCACTCAATGTAGTCATTCGACAGCCTCTGTGTCCGACAGCTATTTACGTAACTGGGAAAGAAGGCAGATCTAGCTAGCAAACTTGCCTCCATAGGTATCCGACTTGAGTGGCCTCGTGGAACACCTGCATGGGGCAGAGAGGTAGGGGAGCAGCTAGCTAGCCCAGCCAAGCAGTATTTGAATATGCATGAGCTCACGCACTGTGCAGACTCGTCCGAATCGAGCCAGATCCTCCGCCGAGAAATACTCGCACAGCGTCACGATGCAGTCGAAAGGCAGACGGTCCAGGGAGAGCGTCTCCCTACTCTCCATCAAACTCAGCTTTTGCCACACCACGCCCCCTCTAGCTAAATAGGGCTCAGTGCGCATGCGCAATATAATACCGCTCGATGGGGCGTGGTCTCCGCCCCATTAGCCACAAATATATACATAATGCATGTGGCAAGGATCACGATCCCGAAAGAGTGTGTGGGTGCACACACAACCACATCGCACAAAAAGCGGCTTCCCACCGCTCAGAGGAGCGAGTAGTCGTTGTGTAGGACGTCTCCCGCAAGAGAAGACCGCAAGTACACGGCTCCCAGCGGCGTAGACACTGAGCTAGATCGGCAAAAAGTGAAAGTATTTTACTCCGGTGCGTGCGAGCGACCAAAGAGAGATGAGTGACAAGGCGGTTGACGGATCCGGGGCCGGGGAGGACAAGAAGACGTCGGTCATGGAAGACCCCATGGCCAACAAGCAAATGGACGCCCTGTTTGCAGTCATTCAAAACAACCCAGACTCCGCGGGCGGCGGAGGGACGGGAGGCAGCACCCAGAAGGCTCCAGGCCAGAAGAAGTGGAAAGAGCGGGAGCTGCCGCCATCGTTCTTCGACGCCGGCTCCGGCACGGGAATTAACTCCCCCGACAAGTTCTCCGACTCGATGAAACAGCAGAAACCGTTCCCGAGGCTGCTGGGCCCGTCCATAAACCTGGGTCCGCCGCTGATGTCGCACGCTCACATGCGCTCGGCCTCCATGCCTGCGACGCTCGAGTCCCTGAACCACGTCCCTCTTCCGCCAGGCTGGGAGGCTTCCAAGACGCCAGACGGTCTCACCTACTACATAGAGTGAGTCTCTTTCCGTGGTACACTTCCGCTCCCAGCGTGTGTGTGTGTGTACGTGAGTGGTCTATATGTGTGCCGACACTGCCTTTCTACTACCAACGGACAAGTCTGTGTTTACCGCAGCATGTGCTGCTTCTGACATATATACTCCTCTCATACACACACACTGCTTTTTCTGTTTATTTGGCACGTCTTTTGTGCCCGAGTTGCAGCGGTCCTTAGAGAGAATGTACGTAGACTTTCCCATGCCAAGGACCTCGAGTCAGATACATGTACAATCTCCTGGCTAAATTAGCAGGGGTTGAGAGCCTAACATCCTCTGTGTGTGTTTGTGTCACGCAGCTAGGCGGGAAACAGGTGGTGAAAGGGCGCAACGAGCCCTGCTGCTTATTTTCGTTTGCAGCTGTTTATTTTCCAGTTGGACCACAGTTTGTTTATCCTTGTGGTGGGGGATTAGTGGCGGAAACTCTGCTGCACATGTCTATTCTGTTACACATAGAAAATTTCGAGGGTGGAAAAAACTTGAGATTCACTCGATGGAGACAAGATGAAAAACTATTGCAGATGGCTTGTTGCCCTGCACGATACAAAAATGCCCTTCTCTAAAATCGACTCCCAAACTGAGAATTTCCTAGCCAAAATCCTTCTACTTGGTCAGATCTATCACTTGGGATCCAGCTAGACCAACGTAGGTCAGTTTATTATTAACCAGTCCCTAGGTGTGTGTGTGTGACGTTATGCTTGTTCCCAGCGACTACATCCATCTGGTAATTTAACGAATTAGCACGGGGCTAGGGGCACGAATTTCTCACAACTGATGCCAGTATAATTATTATACATTATATGTAGTGTGGCCACCATGGTGGAAGTTGGGTGGGAGGGCCCAGTGTAGTACGTAACAGGATTACCGTACGTGGGACAAGGCTTTTCTGTGTGGTCCCCGAGGCACTCTCAGATCGTGTGAGTTTCTCTCTTCTCACGTGGCTAATTCGAGCTAGTGGAGAACGAGGATACGTGTATACTGTGACACACAAACCCCCACCCTTTGTCTCTCTCCCTCTTATTTCTCCCTCTCTATCTTCCTGTATGACTGATATTTTACTTGCAATAATTATTGTAGAGAATCTCTCAATCCTTATGTGACTCTCTTCCTAGTGTAGGCTTATGCAGAGAGTCAGCTAAAGTGTAGAAGTGTCTTTCCCCTGGTTGCCATGCACTCTTCCTTTCACTCTGACCATGGCTTCCTTCCTTTCTCTCAAACTTACACCTGATCCCAGGAATCTTGTGCGCTCTGCCAGCGAACTTTCCCCTGCTTGGCTCCCGAGGGTGTCTCCCTCTCCTCTCATAAAACCAGTTTTGTTTCAGGTCCGTGTTTGTAAGCTCTCTGTCATTGAAACAATAGCACCGAATGAGGCGATGTGTTGGCACACTCGAGGGCCTTTCATTCTGGTCTGTTCTCTATCAATGTCTTGAGGGGATTTCGATCTAAACTGCGATGGCGTGCCGTTGTGGTTCGACTGTCAATACACACCCGGGCTACATGCTGAGAAGACAGAGTGCGAATCGTGCTCCCAGTTTTCATCGCTTTTCCACCAGACAACTGTCCTTTGATCCGCTATTGGTGGGACAGGCAGTGGCCCTGCACTGCACTGTTGCCATACATCTCTCACTGTGACGGCCGACGCTCTTGTTTCATCGCTGTCGTGTGGCGTATCTGTCTGCCTGTTTGTGTGTGCGACCCTAGGGATCGCTTTTATAGCCAACGCTTCTTGTTTTATCGCTTTCTTGTGGGCGTGTCTGTTCGTACAGTCGATGCTTCTTGTTTTACTGCTGTCGTGTGGCGTGTCTCTGTCTGTGTGTGTGTGTGTGTGTGTGTGATCAGCAGGGTGTCTCGAGGTAATCAGTTTATGGCAATTGTTGGCCTCTGTCTTATTACAGACGTGTGCCATGTTCTACGGAGCTCAAACACACCCACATGTGCATGTTGTCTGCACTAAACTTTCTCCCTTTCCCACCTTTGACCTTATAGAGCTCGGAGCCTCCACTCAATACCGATAAACAGAATTCTTGAAACGTTAATGTGTGACAATTGAAAATTGTGAAAGAGGAAGGTGCTTATTTGGGTGTGGCCTAGTAGTACAAAAGGTTCGAAGATTGGCTGTCGGCATGTGTATCACTGATGTAATAGTTGCTGGTAAGAGACTGGTCCATATCTCTGTCAGTGATACACACTTGGCTGAGGTCCATGCCCGGCGATTGGCCGAGAAAGGTTTCAAAGAGAGTGTGGAGTGAAAATCTGGCCCGGCCACACTGCAACGCTTATCAGAAGCTCCCCCATTTTCCCTGTGTGCCTCTGTCGGTGTGTGTGTGTGTGTGCCAGGCAATCATCTCCTGATCGATTTGCTTTTGAAGTCTTAGGAGGTCCTGTGGGGCCAAGCCGTACGTATACCACGTCTCCTCTGGATAAGGCTGCGAGTATTGTACTTGGCAGCTGGTGAAAACTTCCATTTTCTCTCCCACTTGTGCTCTACCCCACGCTGTCCCCACTCAGCTCTCCTCACACTCGATGCTCGTCGTGTTGTGTGTAATATGATTCGGTCATGACGCCCGTTTACCCCAAAGTGTCCGCGAGCGATTAGAAAAGCCGTGAAAGTTATGTCTGGTTCGTATAGCATGGAATCTGTCCACCGCATTGCCTGGTGGTTGTGTGTTAACACCTCGGGTTGTGGTCAACAGAGGTTTTAGTAACATGTTTGGTGTGTATGTCTGGCCAATTAGCTCCCCTGAATTGCCACATAGTCTTGCGACTTGACAGTTGCTGTAGAGCAATCAGTAGAGGGGCTTCCTCATACCTCACTCTCTCTTTCCCTCTCCTGCCTTGTTGTCCTTCTCTCCTTTCTTTTTGCAGCTTGCTAAGAATAGCGTACGTAAGGTTTTTATACCAAGCTCAAAGCTTAGCCGAGATGTTCACATTTTACATGTCGTGGTACATGTTATCGACATGAAATCTACATTATCTACAATGGATGTTACATTTAGTGGCATGCTGTCTCTGTGCCTCCATAAAGTGATTGTAGCTTGTGCGTGCATTATTATGCCGACAGACACACACTCGCACGTTGGTGTAATTGGGAATTGGAGGGTTACACTACAAAGAGTGACAGTGTTTGGAGCCGTAGTAATCGGTAGTAATGGTCAGGTAGGAGAGTCGGTATCACAGTATAATTATAGACCCTGTTCCCACTCATCCTACCCTATATCCTACTAACTAACAAGCACACACACACACTCTTTCATCGTTGTACATGCATACATTCAGTGGAACCCCTCAGGATACTCTCGAGAGAGGGAACACTTCTCTAAAAAGGACACAAACAATGAATATCAACCACTGAAAAAGGACACCTCTCTAAAGGCCAACAACATACGAAAGTTGTTTCGAAGTTGGAGCAACTTCGAAAGTATTGATACGATGGGCTCAGGTTGCGTGTGTGGAAGAATATGGACAACTTTCTTCTGTCAGTTGTGTTTTGTTAGAAGGTGCACTGGGTGCCAGAAGGATACAATAGTGTTACAGAGGTCATTTCCACACTTCCTTCACAAGGGGCAGTGGCCAACTGCTGTATTGCCTGTACATCAGTATGGGCTAATTCAATCACTGCACTCAATGGGTCGTGATCACCGTATATGTGGGAGTGTGCAGTGCGCATGTGTCACTTACACGAACTGTACTGGGAATAGGGATCTAAGCGGCTGTGCTTGTGGTAGTGGTGTGCGCCTCGTGGGAGTGACAATTTCCCGGTAGTAACTGTGAGAGGGGGAGGGGGAGGTACATATGCACGCACCCAGGTGTGAATTTCAAGTGTATCACTTTTCTCTCGGAGTTTGAGTGTCTCTCCTGCTATATACAATTGGAGATTTTTCTTCGTGGGGCACGCACGCACGCACACACAGCGTAGTTCAAGCCGTTTTCCGTTACATAACTGCACCTGGTTTCCAGTCAGGGACTGTGGGAAGATTTACACTCGCTGAAAACGATACCCGGTGTTCCGTTATTGTGCCCTGTTAGTGATATCCATCTAATGTGCGAAATGAAAGAAGCGTCTTTCCTTGACACCAACCACTGCAACCAATGCAGTTTGAATAGTGCATGCCCAAAATGACAGTATACTTCCATCCCTATGTGCAGTTTCTTCCCATATTAAGGTAGTGATACCCAACCTGTTGCCTTGTATCAGGCCCATTTCAAAACCCAGTGGAACCTCTCTAATCCAGATACCAATGGGACAGGAGTAAGTGTCCATATTAGTGAGGTGTACTTCAAAGACTGTTCTCTATGCATGACATATGGAACAGCATCAGCTTGCAGGAGCTGGTGAGAATAACAGGAGTCAAACTCAGGAATAGGGACTGGAAAGTCTGTTACACTAAGCACTGAGCTATATACAACTCCCAGCCTTTCCCAAATCCCTAATCCCTCTTAGTATCTGCTGTGTTTATGTAGCCTTGGGGGGCCCCATTGTTCTTGGAGGTTAAGGAGATGTGATATGGGTGGACTGTGGGTGTGTGTATGTGAGTGTGTGTGGGACTGAGCTCTGCTTGTCTGCCATTTGTGGCAACTCAAGGGCCGTGTAATGAGCGTGATTGAGGCAAAGTGGATCGAATGTCACACCCCATTCGTAGCATGCACACTCGGTTTCAGTGTTGTGCAACGCCTGTCTCGCACTAACCTCGGGATATTAGAGGGGAAAGGAATGGAAGGGTGCACGGATGTCCCCCTGGTTATTTTTAGACGTTCCTATAAATACCTTTTCCCGGGAAATTAGTAACCCGTCGCATTCTTGGTGGTTGCTCCGAGCAACCAGTCTGTTTGTTGCTGGCCTTCTCCGAGATGTGTTCAATTTGTGTCTGTCTCGGTGACGCTGCTAAAGAGGGACTATTGCAGAATGCTGTAATGGAATTAGTCGCATTGCCAAAAGGTGCTCCGTTGCTAAACCAAAGGTCACTCCAGAAAGGAAGGACTCTCCGTGTCTGTTTCCGTGTGTCTCAGAACACCTGTACGTACTTTTATATACGTTTGCTGGTATAGGAGAGGATGTTGTTGTGAGTGGTTGCTTCAGCAGGCAGCCTGGGGGGTACTTAATGTTTACCCTCAAAGAAACCCCCGAGGAAACTATAGACTACGAGGTCTTCATGTGTGGTTGGAAGACTCAAGAGTTTGACACAGTTGTAGTGGTCTTGGTACGGTAATGATAACCAGATGGTCTTTGAGCACATGCAAATGGGGGGTTCAGCCGGTGTTTCTATCCGTGTTAATTTCCCCCTTCTGGCCTGTCAATCTTGCTGATATTGCACAACCACGGGAGTCTTTCTGCGAATACCATTTGTATACTTATACATGTGCAGTAGACAGTGTCAGCGTTGCCTATGTATAATGGACATGTGCAGAGCTGGCACCAGAGCAGACCAGGGGGACATAGTCCCTCTGTCTCTTCATTTGTCCCCCTGAATATGCTTCCCAGGAGACACTTTGACCCTAAGATAGTAGGAATGCTGTTATTGGGAACATCTAAATTTGTTGCTAGAGAGCTGATTGTCCCCCAGCAATAAATAGCTCTGTGTGTGTGTGTGTGTGTGTATGTGCATGCAGTTGCTGGCTAGCTGTTAGTTGTCCAAAACAAGGAAACGAACATGCAGTCATGTGTCACTGAGTGCTCGAGTTACAGCACTGCACTCGAGTTGTTTTGGAGTGAGAGGGGGGAGGGGGGGAGGAGGAAAAGGAGGAGGAGAGAAAGAAAGTTTTAAGAGGGGAGGTGAGAGAGGGTGAGAGACTATCAGGTACAGAGGACATTCACTGCAGTCAAAATGTGTCTCTTAGAGCTCCCCGGTCCTGAATATCACACTCCCTTGCTCTCTCGTGTAACCCAACATCATTCACAGGTCGTTTATCCCCCATGTGGCATCTCCATGCAGACACATCTATAAATCCCATAAACTGCTTGGGATTAGGCGTATAATCATTAATCTTGTCAGTGTGTGTGAATATTATAGTGGAAGCTCTCTAATTGAGTACATAAGAAAGTCCATATTATTGTCATATTTAGGGGTTAAACAACTGTTCTTAGGGACAGTCTCAATAGAGAGGTGTCCTCATTTAGAAGTGTCCTCATTTAGGGGTATCCTTAGAGAGGTGGTCCACTGGATTGAATTCCCCTGTTTTGTGCGTAAGTGGTTGGCAACATAGTACCAGGGATTACAGCTTGCACCGTGGAAACGAAGCCTGGAAAGCCTGGACAAGGGGGGAAAGTTGGTTCCTGTTTCGAGGGGATGCGACCACAGAGAGGTTATTTCACTTCCTGGACACTTCCTGGACACTTCTGGTCAACTGAGCACCATGGCGATATCACTGCCCAAATGCCCACGAATTTCCATAATTTGTGTGTGTGTGTGTGTGTGTAGTGTGTGTAGGTGTGTGTAGGGGAAACTTCTGAATACTGTGGAGAGATCTAAAGTGTCCTTTATTCAGAGGGGTTACTTATTCAGAGGTAATATATAAACCAGAGTGTCAATCATAGAGAGGAGTCACTGTAGTAATGTTGGCTTGGTTTTTGGTCAGCCGTTGTTTTTCCCTCAGTCGACTTTCACTTGCCACAATTTCTCTTTGTGTAAAGCATCCCTCAGTTTTGCCAGAAACAGTGTCTTGTAATTATGCGCTCCAGTTTCTGACTTTCTTCTCCGCATGGACGTAGCAGGCATACCAACACTTTCTCGGTTTGTATTCTATCTTCTCTTTCACCCCACCCCCTGTTCTGCTCTTTGCCCGTCACCTTTCACTTCAAATCCGTTCTGTTTGTGTTTTAAACATCACACAGTTTTGAAAGAAATTTTGTTACACTTTTGATTTGCCCTCGATACTAGTACCGTGTTTGTGTATGATACTAACAGGTTCCGTTTACATTCAGAATGGGTCTGTTAGTAAGTCTACACCTATTCCCCCTGCCCCTGCTAGTTTTTCTGTTTGTGTTTGTTGATATGTGCCCTACTTTCTAACTTTCTAACTTCCTACTCTGTATACATCACGTTTACATTCAGAATGGCACTGTTAGTAAACCTACGCTTTCCCCGACATTTTCTCTCTCTTTTTCTTACTCTCTGTGTCTCCTCCTCTCTCTCTTCTCCTCTCTCTTTCCTCTCCTTCTCACTCTCTGTTCCACAGCCACAACCAACGAACCACGACATGGGAGGACCCTCGCAAGATGATGCACGGAGTTCCCGGCCATCCACATATCCCCTCGTCAATGCAGATCCCGATGCACCAACAGCAGCCCATGATGCCCCAGTTTCCCTCCGGCCCGCCTCCCCCTGCCCCCCATCTTCCCCACCATCACCGAATGCCCCCCTATCAACACGCTGCCGGAGCTCACCTCGACGCTCCACTCCCAAACGGCTGGGAGAAATCGTTCACGCCCGAGGGGGAAGTTTTCTACGTGAACCATAAGACTCGCACGACAAGCTGGCTGCACCCTGGACACCACTCCCCCCATCATCAACATTCGCATTCCCTTGTTAATATGGCCGCCGGGGGTCACCCCAATTTCCCCCGTGGCGGGGGCCACTTCCGGCAGAACAGCCCCGGGGGTGTGGGGTTGACCCTTTCCCAACACCTCCAAACGAGTGGGGACCTCCACAATCGTTCCCCGCAGCAACACCAGCGGTTCCCCTCGGTCCCCGTGGAGCACATTCCGGTAATGGGGGGCGACCCGAAACCGGTCCCCACCACAATGTACGGGGACCCCATCCTCTCGAGTGAACACGTGCGGTCTTCGTCGCACGATTCGGGGCTCGGGGGGACCACAAATTTCCTCTACGCGTCAGAGACCCCCACGATGGGGGAGTACGACGAATCAATGGACACTTCTGGGGCCATGTCTGGAATGAAATTTACCCCCATGGGTGGAATAAGGGGTGCCCCTAATCATCGCTCGCTGGAATATCTCGACATCGGGACCGGGGAAGTCGAACCCACGTTCCCCGATCCCAATGCCACCGCCATGGAAACAGAACTCCTCCCCGGGCCCCTTTCGGGCGAAGTGTTTAACGAGACGAACATAGGCCAGTGGGTGTGACCGCTTGATTTAACCCCTCCGATCCTCCTTTCATTTTCATGTTCCGAGTCTCTCATTTCCTCTTCCTCTTTTTTTCAGGGACTCCCTAATTTTTGCAGCATGTATATAAAAATTTTATTTTTTGCCATAAATCACCACGGCCCAGACTTTTCACACACTTCAGCATGCAGATTTTTGTAGTTGTGGTTTTTTGTCAATTGTTCCTAAAAATTGTGTAGTCTCATTTACTCAATGGGGAAAAAATCAGCTTATTTTTATATTATGATGCCAAGCTGTCCCTTGCTATTTTTCCGTATGTTTACTGTGTAATGTATATAGCACTTTGTGAATGCCATAAGTCGTGTGTAGTGCGCATGCGCGCAGCTCCCCCCGTTCCCAAATAAGGGCGAGTAGTTGGTCTGGGGGAGGTGCGTTGTCGCGCAAAACTCCTTGGGTAGCTGTTGCTGCCGTCTGTTTCTGCGCGCCATGGCCACATACGGCACCGCAGCGCAAGTTGGAGGAAAGCAGAGATACATTGTAAGGCTCACGTGCAGCTAGCTAAGTGAACATGGCGTTTCTATGGCATTTCTACACGTATTTTACATGAAATGTACTTGTACTTGCAAGATTTACAAGTACTGCGCTTGAAAATGCATTTACACTACAAGTACTAGCCTGGGGTACGTTTTTACTTGTTTGGCAAGAGGCATGTACATGCAAACATGTTACATATCTATATAGTAGGTGCACAGCATTGTCAACACCTCAATGAAAGCCTGGGGTCATACTTGTGAGGGTGAGTCAGTTGTTTTGCGAACTAGGGTGGAAGTGCGTAGCGTCGCGCAGAGTCTGTTGGCTGTTTGTGTCTGTGGCATGGCCACGTTGGGATACGGCTCCGCAGCAGGGATTATTGTTAAGTGGACAGTTGTTTCTATGGCATCTCTACACGTATTTTACATGCGAACATGTTACATGTACGTGCACTTGTTTATGTGTACGTGATTTACATGGAAACACATTTTCAACACTACAAGACCTAGCCTTGTTGGCTGATACTTTTGTAGCACAGGGCATGTCGTTTTTTACATGAAAACATGTTACGTGTACATGATAATACAAGTATGGTCAAAACCTCAATTCATGTATGGAAAACCTGGGGTCATACTTGCTGCACGTGGCCTCCATCCAGGAGTCGTTCTTCGTGTGTGTTAAGCGGGGAGACCTGAGATACCTCACTGAGCTGCTCACCAAAGATCCTGAAGCCATCAACGCTCGAGAAGAGGTTGGTTTGCATCACAGAGAAAAGGAGGAGAAGAGGTTCATTTTTGCCCGTGTGTGTGTGTGTGTGTGTTATATAGACAGGGCAGACACTGCTACACCATGCCTGCGCCCTGGGCCAGCTTGAAATCGTCATCTATCTTCTGAACAGGAGGGACTGCAGTGTCAGCGAACAAGATGACGTCAGTACATGCAACGTTTTTCTCTTGTGTATCAGGCTTTGCTACACTTCTTTTTTCTCTGCTACATATGTGTGTGTGTGTGTGTGTGTGTGTGTGTGTGTGTGTAGATATACCAACACACTCCTCTGCACATGGCGTGCATGTACAACCAAAACAGAGTGGTTGCTGAGCTGCTCAAGAAACTTTCTTCAGTTGAAGGCGGTGTCTGCATACAAGACAAGGTACTAAGTGTGAGAGTACTTCTACTACGGGGATTGGCACGGTATGTAACTAGCATCATAGGTCTGTCTACTCCTACTGCTTGGGTTTCTGTACTCCACCACATTCATACTCCATCACACACTCTCTCCTCTATTTCTTTGACTTATGTTGAGTGTTTGTGTGTAACACGTGCACTAGCTCACCATCTGTACAGGGTTTGGGGTTTGTCTTTGCCCTGCATTGTGTGTATGTCGACTTTGAGTCCTGGTACGTACATACATACGTACGTATAATATCTCAGTGGGTAGAGCACTCTGTCTGCCTAGAGAGCAGGGTGTCGTCGGTTCGACTACCACACCCAGGGCAGCTATCTTTCCTTAGAAAGGTATTGTCTCGGGTGATGCTAATATTATGCACATTCCTTTTGTTAATACCCCCTGGTTCATATAGCTTATATTTTGAGACCGAGAGTTAAAAGTTTGGAGTACAACAGGTTTTTTTATCCGTATCGGTCGCAGTTTGGTTGGACGCCACTCCATCACGCGGCGCGGAACGGAAACGTGGAACTGTGCAAGTTGCTGGTTGCCAACGACTGCAGACCTCACATCCCAAATGAGGCAAGCTATTACACTAGGGAAACAGATAGGGCTATAGTGTAGATAGCATGATCCACATTTGTATAGTAAAACCACCCCACACTTTGTAACTGAATAGTAGCGGCTGGCCATTGTGTTGGTTTCACTTTCAGATTGTATTGCAGTCTATAGATGACGTGCGCTTTAGTCTCTTTGTTCTCCAGCTGGGGAAGACGGCGTGCCACTATGCTGCCGAGAAGGGTCATCTGGATGTTCTCAAGTATCTCTACGACTACGTCGAGAGAATTGTGTCCCCTCCAGTGATACCTGACGTATGCCTCGCACACAAACTTCTTGAATTCTCCGTGTACTTATCCCCTCCTCTTTGGCCGACTACTTCCTCTCTTGTTTCTCTCCGTATCTTCATCTTTCCTGCGTTTTCACCCTCCACCCACTGTCTCACCCTCTTCCCCCACCCTCCATCCTACCCCTTGCTCCTTTGGCTATAGGTTCACAATGAAATTATGTCGCAGTGCCGCGTTGTGACGTGACGAGGATAGAAATCCGTTTCTATCTTTGCGGCACGACACAACACAGCACAGTGCGACAGGGCAATGCGACCTATTGTGAACCCAGCCTAACCCCTCACTCCTTCCCCCTTCCCCCTCTCCCTCCCACCCCTCACAGGAGGGTGTCCCTCCCACTAAACCAACTCTCCTCCATTGTGCTGCTCTAGAGAACCAGACGGCAGTTGTTGAATGGCTACAAGGCAGAGTTTATCCTCCACACACAAAATGTCGCAGAATCCTAGATCTCGACGGCAGGGTAAGCCGCAGATGAGCACGGTCGTGTTCGACAACGCGACGCGCGCGATATGCTCGTACACCTGCTGCATGGGGCCGCTGGTGCTAAAGATTTACTCGTGAAAAATCTTTAACGCCACACTACATAATAATTATGCAGAAGAAATTTGTGTTGGTAATTTTTTTCAGAACTTCAAGCAGTAAAACTATATTTTGAGTAGCTATAGATGTACTGTATGTCTGGAGAACGGAGTAGTATATACGTACCTAGTGTAAGTATTTTTAAAGTCTTCTCGTTTTTCAACATGAGACCGTGGTTCACAAATTTGTGAATGGAAAAATAGTTCTCCCGTTCTAAGGACTAAGACGAGAATGTTTCCCGGTCCAACTTACATTTTTTTTTCTCCCATGCAGAAGACGAGAGATGAGTATGCAGAGGATGTTGCCTCGTGTCGTGGGCACAGCGCTCTCAAGGGGATCCTTGCATCCTACAGACAGGTAGCTAGTGCTCCTACGTCACGCTAAGCTTAACATCGACTTCTTGCTTCTGTCATTTCTACGTCGTCCTACCATTACATCATCATGACATCGTTTGTCTCCTCTATTCTTTGTCGGTCGTACATTATGTGGTTTTTAATGAATCTTCAACACCTCTGCCAATACTGCAAAAAATCTTTGGTGTTTCGAAATGTGAGTCTTACTTGCTGCCCATCCCCATTTTGTCTAGGCCAGCCACGTATGTTTGCCTGAAGTGTGAATGATTGCTGCATTAACACACTTAAGTTTCTCTTCTATTGCCCATCATCAATTGTTTCTGCATTCACATACATACGTACGCACATTCGTATGTATGTATATACCGTGATTTTTCTCTCCATTTTTTGTCCGTGGCAGCAATACGAGGGATGGATAAGAGACATTCGAAGTGACACGGTGCCTTTGGATCGGATAAAGCTCTGTATCTGTGGTCACGCTCGTGTGGGGAAGTCCGCCATGAGGGAATCGCTCAGTGCCCCCTTCCTCAGGGTAACTTACTATGCAATACAGTGGAACCTCCGATAAGGGACCCTTCGAGATGGGGACGACCTCTCTAAAAAGGACACTTGTTTCAATCCAATGCCAATACTTAGTTGACCTCCGAGATGGGGGACGACCTCTCTACAAGGGATGAAATCGTGGGCCCCATAGTGTCCCTTGTTTAGGAGGTTCCACTGTATCTTTCACGAGCTACTGCAATGAGTGAAATGCTCTACATGGTGTTTGTGCATGCGCATTATCCAGTTCAACAGCGTCAGATACAAAATAAAAACTACACAATTCAATTGTCAATAATTGGCGACCTACAGAAAAGCCTTCCAAATTGCTTATCTTTTCCATTTTGCATGTGGCCGTAACTCCTGGTTTATGTACCTACTCAGCTGAAAACCCTGGTGGTGTGTGTGTGTGTGTGATTGGGGGGACATGTGTATTCCGCTTGCAGCAGATGCTGGGCATGACGGTACCGGTCTCACCAGAAGACGGTTCGACCCAGCACACTTACGGCATCGACATTCGCATGATGCACCTATCTGCCAAAGACTTCTTCAACGTATGGGACTTTGCTGGACAGGTACACACACACACACGTCTATTGAGACTCTATAATATTTAACCCTCGATACGTGCAAAGACCACGAGACTAATGCCTTGAAACTTTTCTCTGTACGTACATGTATGGTATATTGAATCTAACACTTGCTCTCTGCCTTGTGTCAGGTTGACAACTTCATCACGCACGACTTCTTCATCTCGACGCAGAGCACTGTGTTCACCGTTCTAGTGAAACTGACTGACCCGATTGAAGTACGTATGTGAATATCAAATACACATGCTAGATATTCAATACACATATGGAGATCTTTTCGGTTCAACGATCTTTTCTCTGTTTAATTCTGTGTCTCTCTCTGGAACACTGCAGGAACAGAGGTCACAGCTACTTCTCTGGCTTGGTTTCATCAAAACCAGAAATCTCGGTCAGAAACCCTTCATCGATAGTCCTCTGGAGCAAGACAGCGTTCCCATGACGACACACCAGCAGCCACGGCGACGGTTGCTAACGGCGAGACAGATGCAGCGGCCACAGAGGAAGAAGAAGGCTGCGGAACCCCTCGTGCGTTCAGTTTCCTCTCCTCTCCAGCAGAACGGAATGGAGACGGGTGGAACAGGGAACGGGGAGGAGGAAGATGCAGGGAAAGAGAAAGAAGAATCTGGGGGTTCCGGCAAAGGGAGGGGGGCGGAAGAAAGTCAGGCCGAGGGGGCAGCAGGGGGGGCTCAAAATCAGAACAGGATTCCAAAACCGGCAGCAGAAATGTACGGGAGCTACATCGACCCAGTCCCCGTGCTGATTGTGGGGAGTCATTATGACAAACTCGAAGGTCAAGGTGCAGCGACAGAGGCCGTGCGAAAGACGCAGCAACTGGTTGATGAGCTGCGCGAGCAGTTCGAGGAATACCTCAGCATTTCCCCTCGTCTCTACCCCCTCAACTGCCTCTCGGCCGTGTCCAAGGAAATCAAGGATCTTAAAGAAAAACTCTGCGAAGTACGCTCCGAGCTCGTGGAGGTAACGGTTTTTGCATCTTTCTCTGTTGTCAAGTTTTAGGTCTTTGTTTTCTGGATTAGTTGCAGCCACGGTATCCCCGAGTGATGGAGAAAGTGGCGCGCCAGATAGAGTCACTCAGAGGGGAACAGACCAACATAAAGGTATACATTGACTTGAAGCTAACACGTCGTGACGAGTGGGCATGATTTTTCAACGTGTGTTCGTGCATGAATCATGTAGAACATTACGGTATGTGCAGTACCCATCCCACATATTATGGTATGTAGAGTAATCCCACTGGCCCACTTCACTCGGAATTACACAATTTTCTATTATTGTGTCCACTTTTTCGCATTTCTACATGTGTTCTATTCGACTACTTCAGGTCTTGTCGTGGGACAAACTTCGTGACCTGGTCAAAAGCCAGAACCAACTTCTCTCCGATAAACAGCTGAGCTACATCTGCAAGTGCCTCACTGATGCTGGAGTTGTAAGAAAAACATAACCCACCTCTCAGGCTAGGTTCACGCATTGCCACGTTGAATCGATTTCTATCTTCGCGGCACAATGCGACGCGGCGGGGCAATGCGACATATTATGAACCTAGCCTTAGACTTTTCTGGCAAGAAAGTTATAGAACACCCCCCTTGGATGCTCTACGTGATGTTTGTGCATGCAAGAGAGTGTGATAGATTTTAAACACAGCACATAGCTGTGCCCACGTTGCTTTTCTATGGTACAGCTCTAATCACAGTACTATAGAATCTTACATGTGTGCACTTACTATAATATAGACATCTGTTGTTATACACAGGTGGTGTACTTTGAAGAGGGGAGCCCTGTCAAATCACATCATCATCGATCCCGCCTGGCTGTGTAAAGATGTCCTCGGGCAAGCCCTGGCTCCCGGGAGTTTCTCAAGGGCAAAAGGTTCCCTTTCGCGGATGGGGTCACACGAAATCTCAAAGGGGGTCGTCCAGGGAAAGCTGTCGCAGTTTCTCGATCATCAGCACATCGACATCATTATGCAGCTGCTGAGAGATTTCGACCTCTGTCACTACAACCGTGACACCGACACGCTGTTTTTCCCGGCGTTCCTCAGCGAAGAGCTCGACCGTTCTCTCTGGACGAGCGACGTCCAGTATCAGTCTTACATCGGCCGTCGGTTGATGTGCTCCGACGTAACCGACTCCTTTCCTCCCGGTTTCTTCTCCCGGCTTCAGGTCCAGGTTCTGAATTCCCTGAGATCTGAGCGAGTCCACGTGTTCAAGGGCAGCTTGCTGGTCCACGGGACTGGCTTCCAGTGCCTTGTTAGTATCGGTGTACCTACACAAGCCTCGGGCCCGTCACCACCGCACCAGAGAGGCACACTCAACTATCGTAGCGCCATTACGATCCAGGCACGAGCGTCGGAAGGCCATCTCTTCAGCTGCTGTCAGAACCTCGACCTCATCCAGACCATGATTGCTCAGCTGGTACGCGTGGCCTGCCCCACCATCTTCCTCGATCTCCTCATCCTCAGCAGTTCCGATCTTAAAGCCCACTCACCGAACCCCCACGCCTACACCATATTCGAGGTCATCTCGGCTGAATCTGGTGGAGACGAAGTCGTGAATGAAGTCACCGGATTCCGGGATTCCCCTCTCGATCTCCTCTACCTAGGAGACGAATCGGTCCGCAAAACCAGCACCGGTCGTCACACGAAAGTGGCGTACCTCTCCGAGGACATCATTCAGAGAATCGAAGAGCTGTTGGAAGACGGACCTAAGGACTGGAGAGACTTGGCACGGAAACTGGGACTGGACAAGTATATTCAGCTCCTGGAGAGTCAGAGTCCCCACTCCACACGACTTCTCTTGCTCAAATGGGGGGAGAAGCCGAGATGGACAGTCGATAGTCTGCTGTATGCTCTCAGGGGCATTGGTAGAGAGGACGTCGTCAACTTTATTAGGGCAAGAATGAACCTACCGAGAAAGTAGCAAAATTTGTAACATGTTCATGAACCTGAATGCACTGATGACAATTAAGGGAGCATGAAGACAACGCAAATTCAACGCGATTCCGCCGCCGCCGCCGCCGCCGTAGCGCGCGCGCATAATCATCGTCCGGCGCCGCGCGTCATATATGCACGCACGCACGCGTGCACGTCGTCGCCGTACGTACGTACACGTACACACACGTGAGTGCATGCTAACTAACTGCGCATGAGCAAATCTCTAGTAGCATTACGTCACTTTTGTTTGACTGGCTGCTGCATGCACTGGGGGCTCGGCGGAAATGCAGTTCCTTGTCTTGGCCCCAGAGGCGATAGTGCTGGTTTTTCTAGGCCTCCTCGCCAGTCCCTCTTGGCAGTATGTCACCATCGAGCTCAAGAACAACTCCAGGTCCCTCGGCGACAGGTACAAATACGAAGACGATAGCGTGTTCACCTACCGCTACGCCAACTTCCCCGGGAACGGCAAGTTGAGCGGCTACGTGTGGAGGTGGAGCGACCTCGAATTCCCTACGAATGGCTGTCAGTACATCGACCCTCTCTCCTACGATGTCCAGGCCGAGGGTTCTCGCTGGTTCGCCCTGATCGAAGGTCTCAGCACCTGCGCCAAGGACATGGTCCAGAACGTCAGAAACGCCGGGTTCGACCTGGTGATCGGCTACGACAACGGTTCCTCATCGGCTCCAGATCTGTCCAGTTCTCTCAGAGACAGCGATTTCCCGATCGTGGCTATCTCCAGCGGATACGCGGAGAAACTGTTGGAGATAGCGGCCACGGATTCCCAGACAGGCTCCGTTAGAGCCGACGTCTCGGTGGTTGATCTCGACGATTTAGTGGTCGGATTCAGTGTGGGCTTTCTCGTTCTATCCCTCGCTCTCTTCACGCTGTTTTTCTGCTTCGTCTACTGCCGGTGGCGGGCCCGTCGGCGCGGGCTCTACAGTTTCCCGGCGACCGGCGGCCGGGACCCACTCCAACAGCGATTCACCCGAGCGAGGCTGGAAAGACAGGAGCTAATCGAGAGCATTCTGCGACAGTTACAAGAACTGCACATCGAACCAGGCCGTCACCCGCCGCTAGGAGAAGAGGCGACGCGAGCTCTCCCGCAGAAGAAGTTCTCCGAGGTGGCGCTTCGCGAGTCCTCCTCCAGCAAAGAAACCTGCGCAATCTGTGTGGAAGAATTTCAAGCGGAGGAGGTCGTACGTGTACTGCCTTGCAGCCACTTCTTTCACCCCAACTGCATCGACCCATGGCTCACAGAGCACAGCTCCATGTGTCCCCTCTGCAAACAGTCGGTTTCTCAACAGAACGAACAGCCGCCGGGAGTTCCGGGGGCGCCGTACGAAGTCAATCCGCTCTCCTCCTCCAGTGCCAGCAGTCTCAGTATAGATACAGAGAGTTTGGAGAATTTCGCAACGCCTACTGCTGTTACTCCAGTTCCACCACCACTCGAATCTCCAACTTTTGCCGTCCAAGTGAGAGGATCTTCAGCCTCTGTGAACGACGATAGTTTGTCTTCCGCTTCGAGCGACGCACCACTTATAACTTCTACCAATCGTTAGCTTTTCTCTCTGCACTTGTCCCGCATATAGCGTGTTTGATCCGAAATGTTTTCTGTGCACGTGTCATAATATACACTTGTCCAAACAAAAGATTAATGTTTTGCGTAATTTTGATCACACGCAAACACACTGATTTGTGATAAAACTGCACAAGAAGTACAATAGTAATGGACTTGTAAAAGTACACAAGCCCTGAAATTAAAGCCTATAATTATAATTAAGTAGCACATACACACACAAAATGTCAAAAATAGAAAGAGAAAAAAGATGTCAGAATGAATCGCGATGGAACAGTGATTCACACAATAGCTGGTGGTACATGAGACGAGGAAATGGCAGAGTTTGTAGAAAGTCTAGGGACAGAGTGTGGACTTTATATCCCATACCTTTGAGACGACGGAAATGAAGGATGGAAGTAGGGAGAGAAGAAGGGAGTGAATGAAGAATGGAGTGAGGGGGGGAGAACGGGAGAGGGTGAGAGTTGGGAAGTGGAAAAGAGAGAGAGGGAAGAATGAAATGAGGCAGAGAAAGGAGGGAGGGAGCAAGACGGTCAAGAACCGGGTAGAGGGAGGGAGTGGAGAAGGGGAAAAAACAGTAGTGAGGGAGAGATGGTAGAAAAGGGAAAAGGTGTTTAAAAAGCAGATACATACACACGTGTGTGGAATGGTCACTCGTTAGCACCACTATGAACTACGGCCTTATTCATGTATTGACTAAGCATTAACACTAGGATAGGAAATACTCATACTAATACTTATCACCTATTCACCCCATTCCTTTTCCTCTTCTATTGTAGATACCACTTCCTACTTTTACCTAGGGTATAAATACTCTACCATACAGTGTCATCGAATAAGTTACTACTTACAGCCAAGTCAACAACACTACAATGTGACCCCACAACACACACCTTGATGATCTTGTCAGATCCCACTGTGATCCAAATCCACCGTTCCTCGTCCAAGTCCATGTCTGTCACATCTGACTTGAACTCCAGGAACGTTGCAAGAGGAGTGCGACTAAAAATTTATGACGGTTGGAGGAGAAAAATCAAGAACGCCTTAAAAATTTGCAGTAGTAGTAGTAGTTATGAAAATGGCATCGTCTGAAAAGACTGACAAACTGAAGAAACAACACAACTGGAAAGCAAGTAAAAGGCAAAAGAAAACGAACGTGGCTAGCTTCATTTTCTAATTGGTGAGCAAAGCAAGAATATCCTGAATTGCTGCACGTACACGCTACCATGCATTCTTTAAAGCTTTACTTCATTCTCAATCCCGAAAACCTTAATTTCTCTCTCTCGTAGTCGTTCGCCAATCTGCACGACATATTAGTTTCAGTTGACCTACTCATCGGTGGTGACGGTTGCGTGGCAGTCCTGACACATCCTGACCGGTATCTCAAACCCCATTGGAGGGTAGGTGGACTCCAGCTCCGAACACTTGGCACACACCGCCCGGCCACACTTACGACAGTGGTGCTAGGGGAGAAATGACTCTGCTCAATGGTTTACACATGACGCTATGTGATACAAAGCAAATGATGTTTCGTAATTTCCTTTATCTCTCGCTATGGCAGCCACCCGAGTATTATTATTATTATTATCTCGCTCCGAAATTATACCTTTCCCCCTAATATCATTACACTCTTCCCCCATCTGGCTGTGTAGATGGTTGGCAAATAGCCATACCATACCATTGGGGTATATATTTCACGAGGCTCCCCAGAGAGGGGTCTATACGTATATATGATATACTTCAGACATCATAGCTTCCCCCAGAGAGGGGTCTATATATATAATACTACTTCAGACATCATATTTGGCTCACCTGCCGAACACCGATGACTTTTCTTGTCCACATGTCCTTCACGTTCCAGAAGAAAGGAATCCCACACTTCTCGCAGGTACTCCCCCCGCCCCATTCTGCCGTCTGAAAAACACAAGAAAAAATCTCAAAACCATCGTTAAGGCAGCTACGACACCCACACGGAAGTAACTACAGCTCCAAATTTTGACCCTATGACTTTATGAGGTTAGCTCGCTTCCTCTCGCCAATAATTTTGACTTTAACCCCACAACCACTATTGGTAATCAACCCCTTGAATCCCCTCAAGCAGAAACCACATAATAACATTGTTACGACTTAAGGTCAGAGGCGTATGGATTACGTGTGAAATTCCTTCTACAGTCAGATATCCACGGACGGCATTTCACCTCTTCTCTTTGAATATCGAGGTCCCATATTCCAACGTTCCCTCGCTCTGAGCTGGATAACAGTCTCTTGACTTGTGGCGAGAAACAAAGATCAGTTAGCTTTGCTCTGGACACCATAGGGATGGGGGGGAGGGAGGGAGGGAGAAGAGAGAGAGAGGAAAATGAGAAGAAAGAGAGATGGGGAAAGGCAGAAAGAAGGACAAACAGGTGAAAGGAGGAAGAAGAGAGAGGGAGGGAAGGTGGGAAGAAAGAGAGAAAAGAAGAGAAAGTTAAGAGGAAAGACAGACAGAAGTAGAAAGATGAGGTGATGGAATAGTACATACTCAGTAATAGTGCTGGTCTTACTTGTGTCCTGTCAGTTCGTAGGCTGTTCCTTTCTGTGACCCAATGTCCCAGACCACTATGATCTGATCGTAGCCTCCGGAGAACAGAACTCTACTCTCCTGGTCGTAGGCCAGACTCCGCACGCTACCTGCACATCGTGACAACATCAGTCCACGCATACAGTACATAGAGAGGGTTACTAGAACGACATTTGTGGCGAGCAGATGTGGTGGATAAACGACTGCGAAATTTCAATTCCGTTACGAGTATTTAGAAAAAAACGTAGGTATATACGTGTGTGAGTGTCAGTATATACAGGCATATGAAAATTCCTGCATTCAGATATCTAAAGAGGCTTGCTTTGCTCGGCAAGTTTAGTAGTAGAGATGTGCTGAATGCTCGCTTCACTTCAAAGAACTTAGGCCATCATACGCACAAATAACCCACAAAATAGTAATGTATGTTTGCCTGGCAGAACTGAAACTATACAGCACAATAGTGCTGGTCTTCATCACACGACTCGTATCATGGTGTCGGATATATATGGTTGCATTCAGACGATTAGATGGGCTCACTTTGCTCTTGAATATGAATCTTCCACTAATGAAAGGAACTCTACCACTTACTCTGATGTCCCTTGAGTGTGGTGATAAATTGAAACCCCTGGCTCTCCAGTTTCAGCACGCTGATCTGTCCGCCATAGTCAGCCACAAACACGTAGCTACTGATGTGGTCGTACGCTATGTCCATGCACCACGCCTGTGCCTCGAAACTGCCAGCTTTCGACCGGTTTTCGTGCAGCACCACTGAAAGGTTTTATCGCGAGAGACGCTGAGTATCCAGTCCATTTGCGGGACAAATTGCAGTGCAGTTATCCTGTTACCGTGTGCTGTAGGTCGGGTGAGAGGGTTAGAGAGATGGGGAGAGGGGAGAGGAAGAGAAAAAGGGAGGGGGGGAGGAAGGAGAGAGGGACAAGGGGTGAAGAGTGAGAAGAGAAGTAGGGCAAAGGGGAGTGAAGGAAAGTGAGTACAAAGTGCCAACATTCGTGCTGGAATGTGTATCTAAGCTTGATATACAAACGTAGGAGGTTACAATACTGCCCCTATGATGCTGGTTAATTCACTGCTACAAACCCCATTGCTAACAGCACAAAAACATTGTCTACATAGTACCTGAGTATGTTCGTTTGGGATCAATCCTATTCAGGTCACCTGACAACTTGTACTCCTGTGCAAACATAGACATAGAGACACTGTATTATGACAATACCAGACAAATGCAATGGATTTTGGTGAGAGAAGGCAAGTGCAAAATGTCAATAGATAGAGGTGCAGTGGGGTCACTGTATATACAAACGTAATAGAGAAATTGCGCAATTCATACGAACAGTAGGCTCGCTTAGCTAGACAGTGGAACCCCTCTAATCCAGACACCAATGGAACAGAGAAGGTGGCCACATTAGTGAGGTGAGGTGGTTACATTGCATGCAAGAACAGTTCTTGGGGAAATAAAATGTGTCCTTAACGGTGACGTAATCTTAAAGAGCGTCCTTAGAGTGTTCAACTGAATGCCATAATTATGCAAGTTCTTGATTGACTGACTCACGTGCAGTAATCCTGATCCAAGGCCTACAAAGAGCCGCTGTGAATTAGAGTCGTATTCCAGTGCTGAAGCTGCGGCTGTGAGAGAGTAATTCACATGAGGATTAGCATACAGATAAACTGAAAGTTTTTTTGCATACAACTCTACTATCTACCAACCTTGATAGATCTGGCATATCGTGGGCCAGTATTGACCACTGTCCCTCTTTACCCACACTCTCATGGACCTGAATACGTGTCGAGTGGAGACATGAAAGAAAAGGCGTGTCTAATCTCAACAGCTACGGGTTTTCTGATGCTCTTACTTGTCGTCGCTGACGGTTATTACGGCGTCCTCTCCTTTGACGATCTTCGCCCGATTCACGGTCCCCGTGTGACCCTCCAGCTTGCTCAGAAGCTCCGGGCGCCGGGTTTTTGGGACGGCAGCCATCGATCACACTTCGCTTGGCCTTCACACAGATCAGAAACGTCCAGAGTCTTTAGGCAAGTTGAAAATGTGTACGTCATTTTGCGCGCATGCGCACATATAACTAATTTGGTCACGAGACAAATCACGTGAACATTTTAAGCGCATTATAAATATGAACTCTGACCCCGGTTTGTGCGCTTATACATCCCACGCCGCACGTACACGCACAACGCTGCTTGCCAGTAAAAGAAAGACGGAGGGAGAAGGGAAGAGGAGATGGAGGTAGAAGTGGTGTTTCCGCAGATCTGTGGGGCTTTCTATAAGGTGAGCGCGGGTGGCAGCCAGTCGAGCTTTGCTAGGGTGGTATTTTCATTGAGTGACCGAGGCTTGAGTGTACACGTTGGCACGCCTCCTATCCAATCCTTCCGCAGGCTACCATTGTGGATTTGCAGGTGGAAGAACAGAAGGCCCTCCTCTCCTTCGAAGACAAGTAAGACCCGTTTTCCACCACTCTTCGCCTTCCCTTTCATGCGCCTCAGGAGAGTGCAGTAGAGTATGGGGTGGTTTGTGTGCCTGTGCCCTTGACTGCCTTGACTTCATTGTATACCTGTATAATCACATGTACCGCTATTCTCTGCTACTGTGTGGGGATACGCAGTGTACAGCACTGGTGTTTGTCAATTTGTGTCTCTCTCTAATGGAAGTTTGTTCCTACAACAAGTTGTGCACATGGTTTTGGTTTGTGTATGGCCTGTGGCTAAGTTCTGCTAGTATATACTGTTGAGATTTTCATAATCTCTTCCCCTCTCTCTTTTCCCTCTCTCCCTCTTCTTCTCTTTCTCTCGCTTGCACCCTCTCTCTTCCTCCCTTTCCCCTCTCTCCCTCTTCTTCTCTTTCTCTCCCTCCCTGTTCTCACCTCTCGCTTGCACCCTCTCTCTTCCTTCCTTCTCCCTTTCTCCTCTTCTCTCTTCCTCTCTCCTCCCCTTTCCCCTCACTTCCTTGCTGAAACAGCTGGAAACCAGACTCATGGGCCGAACTGGATCACATCCGCTTTCTCCCAGACATTCCAACCAGCAGTTTCATCAAACCAGGCTCAAAAGTGGAGGTATATACAGTGTAAATGTTACTGAATGCCAGCATGGAGAAGGAGAGTGAGGAGGAAAAGAGGAAGAACGAAGGGAAATCAGAGCAAAAGAGAGTTGGAATAAAAAGAAAGAAGAGGGAGGGAGAGTGAGAGGGTAAATGATTGAGAGAGAAAGTACATAATAGTTAGACGCTGATTCGAGGTTACTACGCGCAGTAGAAAGCCGAGAGCCCCGGCATTGTGGCGCCACGAACGCAGCGAGGGCACTACCCCCGGGGCACGAGGCTTTCTACCGGCGCGTGGTTACCGAGGAATCAGCATCTAACTATTTTAGAGTGAGCGCTTCATGTTGAGCGTTCTGGCTTTCCTGTTCGTTCGTATGGCGGAACACTTCTAACTATGACTGGAAATGCAGTGCAAGAGCGAAGTGGCAGAAAAGACGCGCGGTAATGACTCCGCCTTCTTTCCCTGCGTGCGCGTGGACGACGCGTCAATGTAGATTCAGTGGGAAGAAAGAAAGAAGATGGAGGGAGAGGGAAAGGGCGAGAAAGTACATAATACAAGGGAGAGAGTTTCAAAGTTCAGAGAAATGTCGATAATCACAGAAATTCAGAGAAATACCAATAATCACAGCCTGAGCGCTACTCTACCACCAAGAAACGGGGCACACCAGAGGATTGTTGTGTGACACACTATCTATAGCTGAGGGCCTGTATCTAATGTCTAGGGTGGTTGTCCAGCATACCTACTGACTGAGTAAACAGGACTTCCCAGTAGGACTATTCATGAGTTTGCTTTGGCTTTACTAGAGACAATGAACATAGCCCTCCCTCCCTCCTCCCCCTCCTCCCCAGGCTCTCCTTCCCCACCAGGACAACGAGCCTCCAGGATGGTGGAACGGAACACTTCTCAAGTCCAAAGGAGAGGTACAAACCCGTAAAACTGGCCTAAAACTGGTTTTTGTAACCTTTACTGATATCAATTTTGGCCTCAAACCAATCTATCAAAAGCAGACTAAGTGCAAAAAATCTGTAGCTACATAAGTAAATGGAAAAGCTCCTACGAGATTTAGAAGAGACTAAATTCAGTGAGCTGTAAATACACCTGCAGCTACATGTGGTGGAATTCCAATCAGGCAACGAGAAATACCAAGACATTGTTGACCAGGACAAGATAAGACCACCCAACAACAAGTGAGCTAATCTATAGCATTTCCTAACAGAGCTTCAGTTTCACCACTGAGTATATACTTTCTGTGTGCACATGTAGAGAGCCGCTATCCAAATGTCAGTTTGTCAGTCAGGAATATTCCGTACCAGAAGATCTCCAGTCATTGTAAGTCATTGGAACTTCTTAATCTATCTTCCTGCACTTATTCCTATTTGAGGGTGTGAACGAGTTTGCATTTTTTGTAGGTGCATCAGTGGAAGTTATAACTTAAGTTTTATTTTATTTTATAGTTCTCTTCAATGAAATAGTTGTACATTTTATTTTACCAAACCAAGCTAAAAAGAAGCACTTCTTTATAAAATGAAATCAAGCGTTGTAGAGGAGGGAATACCAAGGTTCTTTCAAATTTTCTATCACTCCTCTCCCTCCCTCCCTCTCTTCCTCCCTCTCTTCCTCCCTCCCTCTCTTCCTCCCTCTTTCCTCCGTCGCAACAGCTGTGATAAACCAGCCATTCATGAAAACTTTCGCAAGAGGATCGGCGCTGTGTGTGTCCATTACTCCATGGACAAAGGGAGCCTTGTGGTCCAGGTATGTAAATATAGAAAGAAGGGAGGGAAGGAGGGCACAGTTTACGAAAAGAAAAATATTGCAACGTGTCGTCCCCACAAATAAATCATTTGCCAATAATAGGTATCAAGCCTCTAGTCTGTGGAAAAAAGTTCCTTCAATTATTAATGGTTAATTCTACACGTACGTAGAAGCATAGCGTACTTGTGTGTTTGTTCGGTAATAGTGCAGTGAATTCGCCTGCTGTTGACCCAGTCTTAACTACTACCTGAATATTTTCCCCCTTGTGTGTGTGTGTGTCCATGTGTGTGTGTGTCGTTCAGGCCAGCAGTGAAGAGTCGATGGACAAAGCGTCTCTACTGATAGACATGCATCTGAGAGACCTGAGGACCCACAAGCAACTCATGGATAGAGCCGATGCCGTTGCACAAAGAGTTAGTCCCTCATTTTTTCACCTTCTTCTAACCTCCCTACTGTTTGATTGACTAATGACGACGCAGAATGAAATACTGCTATCTTATTTTCCAAACATAGTGGTGCATGAATATGTGGTTGCGTCTACCTTCTAACAGTGAAAGAAGTTCTTTGTTTTGCTCTCTCCTTCTTTCTTCCCTCTCTCTTCTGCCACTAAAGGCATAAGGGCTAAATATAGAACTAAACAATAGGGCCCAGTGCCAGAAATGTTATCAGTTTTAACATGTAGCCCTTATTACTGCCACATTACCTTTTAAGATGCATAGCTGCCATATTGCTCAGTAGTCATCTGAACAGTATTCGGTAGTGAAATGTGCATATAATATTAATCTGAGGTAACCTGTTAAAGAAAGCTGTCCTGTGCCAGCACTCACAAAAGTGCTGCACTCGCAATTATTCAATTGTTCTCGTCCCTCCTCCACTCTCCCAGGAACATCAGCAGCAGCGAAGGCAGCTGGACTCCGGAGTATACGAGCAGCAGTATACATTGGTCCAGCGACCTGGTCGGACTGGCCATCGGTCGCGACGGGCACAACTGAACGGGTCCGGAAACTGGACGGATCCTGTCGGTCGAGTTTGAGGACTACAATCAGATGTTCAGAGTGAGAGCCAAGGTCGTTACGTTCGGAATGAAGCGTAGAATCCGACACTAGGTGTTAACAAATTGGCGGTCCACATCAATATAGCAGCTGCGCGAAATGTATAATTTGGACCGCCAAGGTTACCAGTTCTAAGATGGTAGAGCGCTCACGCTTGAGTGCAGGGTGTTTTCGTGGGTTCGAATCCCACCCAGGGCAGTTCTTGTGAGATGAAAAGTTGTCCTGGGTGCAGTTGACTTTTGCCTTTGCCTTTGCTAGCTGTGGTTGTTGTGACATGTACACGTAACAGAAAGAATAAGGTAGTAGTATGTTAGTAGTTTTAGATGACACGGTATACTCATGTCACAATTTCAATTCCAGTTTTAAACCCCCTGTAATACTGATACGCAGACTCCAGAGGTGCTAACACGAAGGGCAAAGGAGCTGCTGAGATTGTCAGAAAGACGGTCATGATCCCAAGACCTCGCTGGTGAGTTTGCATGTTGGGCTGATTTGTCATCTCAGTTGTTAAAACCATTACTTCGTGGGTGCGTTTTAGCCAAGATTTTAAGTACACACTCGTGCAAGAAAAACGTGTTTATATAAAAAATCCTCGGAGTCACTAAGTGCCCGCGGTGCCGTTTCCCTGCGCACCTGCGTACACGTAGGTAGAAACAAGTGTGCATCAATTAGAGTACCGTACTATGTATGTTACGCATCTTGTCCATTGAAATCTACAAGCGTTAGAAGCCCTCAGGCTCTTCATGTAGCGTCTCACTACTACAACACAAGACCCTCGGGCTTCTAACGTGCGTAAATCCACAGACTCATTGTCTAACAATTATACAGTGCCCCCTCCTCCATATCTATATCCACAGGCAGAGTGATAGGCAAAAGAGTCACGTGATTCAGAAATTCTGGAGAAAATCTGGAGTTAGAACATCCGTGTCCTTGGCGACGACGAATCCTCCAGCAAAGACAGTGCCTCCTCCTCTTCCGAGTCTTCTCCTCTTCTCTGAGGTTCCGTTTGACTTCATTGTCGAAAAGCTGCAGTGGAGAATGCATGCTGCTCATGTTTTGAGTACCCATCTGGATCCACTTGAAGGTTAGCTGGAGGAGAGAGGGGGGAGGGAGGGAGGGAGGGAGAGGGAGTGGAGTGGAGTACCATCTGGACGCACTTGAAGGTTAGCTGGAATATATAGGTGTCTCCGCCTGGGTTTGGGATGTAATGTACAGTAGAGTCAAAATGGTGGAAATGAATGTATGTATGTTTTGCAATTACATTGTAATCATTCGCCAGTGTAATTTTACACGGAATATCATTCGCCGTGTAATTTTGCACGGAATATCATTCGCCGTGTAATTTTTGTGCACGGAATATCATTCGCCGTGTAATTTTGCACATAATTTGGAGACAATACTTCACAGTCGGCGGTGAGTTTGACCGCCCAATCAACGGATGGACCGCCGACGTACTACCCTGCACTCACAGCCATTCGCGGAGAGGAGGAAGGATAGGGGACGAGGAGAGATGGATGAGTGGCAGAGCTGGGGAGAAGGTGTGGAGGTGGATGAGATAGGGGAACGAGCTGGGCGCTGGGAGGAAGAAGAGGCGGAGTGGAGAGCTGGCAGGGCCAGTGCTGGGATGTCAGCTCGTGTCTAGGAGTGTGGGATCACCTGGGGATAAGGGGCGTGCGTGTTTGCGCGACTGTGTCGCCTTCGCTGTAGTTATCTTGGAGCAGCGTGTGCGGGCGGGTCGTGCAGGACTCTTCCTTTTTCGCCCTCTTTTAGCGTGGCGGGTCCCTTGGTGCGCGCTGCGTGTCGGCTGAGGTGGTGCGCGGGGGCGGCCGGTGTCGCGCGCGTGGCCGCTGCTTTTGGGCTGCGTCGCGCGCCGCATAACGACATCATCAGAAATCACGGTAATGTCCGTTGTCACCTGATACAAAGGGAGTTGTGTTGTAAACATTATACAGGTACCCCGCATGTCCTTTACTTATATGGCATCTCCTTTGATTATCGGACATACTGATAACTTTCGACTGATAAGGTGTAGTAAAGCTGACAAATCATCAGACCGGAAAGTTGCGAGGACCTCCAATGGTTGTTAGCGATTTTCACATTGGATGTAAATAAGGAGTGTGACATTTTCGAGGACTCGGGTGAAAGTCAAAGTGACTTTAGTATGTCACAATACGACACCCTTAGGCAAGCGTAGTGGTCACTTCACAACAGTGTCAACTCACGCTGATTCTAGAGACCACTCTTCTTTGCAACTTTGTTCTTAAGATGCAGTAGACAATGTGCTAAAAACTCCCTCCGTGCTACAGTTTGATTCTCTTCAATTGTGAATTGTCTTTGGTTGTGGATGTCAAGGTAGCTGACCACAAACCATCCTTCCGCCCACCACTCCAGTCCCGGTTTTGTTGTCTATCTTCTCTGTGGCCCTTCGCCTCTCTCTCCCCCTCCTTCTTCTTGGTACACCCTCCCTTTGTGCTCGGCGTGCTTCTTCCGTCGTCTATTTGTCCGCGCTCTTCCCTGCCCCGCTCCCCTTTAACTTGCTCCCCTTCCGTTTCCCCCACCCCACCTATTCCTCCCCCTTCTATTTTTGTCCCTTGTCCCCTTCTCCCCCCCTTCTCCCAACCGTTTCCCCTCCTCCGTGTTGTCCGTTTGTTTGAATTGTTTTAGGGAGATTGGCAAACCCGTAGAATGGTACATAATAAGGTGTGCCATAGTTGAGGCACTTAATTTGTAAGAGGGCAAAAAGGGGAATTTCCTGCAACACATGGATAGAAGAAAAAATTTTAGGATAACCAGGGGAAAGTGAGGGTGAGAATAAAAAGGAAACGCGGGTCAGAGTAACTTTGGGGGAGGGAAGTATCTTTCTGCACACATGTATAAAGAAAAATTTGTGTCGTGATGTTCTATTTAAGAGAGCCCACCAGAGTCGGAGGGAGCAGGGACCGGACCGGAGGCGCAGCAAGGTCCACCTCGCCAAGCAGCCAAGAGGGATCTGAGGGAGGGGGAGGGGGGTAGAGGAGGTATAGGAGGGTACAGCCGGGGAAGAATGGAGAGGAGGGAAGGGAGGGGGAGGGTGAGGTAGTGGGGGTAATCGGAGCTCTCGGCCCTCGGCTTTCGTCGGCCCGCTGCAGCAGTCTCAGAACAAGAGAGGATGCGTGGCAGCTGCTAGTACTGAACTGGGGTCAGCGAGAGAACGCCGAGACCGAGGAGACGCCACTGCAACTGGCCGATGTGAACTAAGTTAGAACAGCAATAGTTCGTGAATCCAACCCTAGAAGCCTGAACTATTTGCACTTTCAATTCATTCAGCGTTTCGAGTTGCAGCAAGGCTGTTCCATAAGCACCATCTAAATTCATGTAGTTTTACAGAGATTTAGTATTCCATACTCCAGTTGAAGCGTACTATTTTTAAACGGTGTGCAGTTAGTGGGGATTACAACTGCTGAACTTAGTGTAATAAGAGTTACTGCACACTGCACAATAAAACCCAAAAATTGAGGTAGCCTCACATACTATTGTTCACTTTAAAAAGTTGCTGAGTTTAAGAGTTTTTCCAATTGCTTACTTTCCCCCAGGTACTCTTCCCTTCCCCCCAAGGAATTCCCCCCCTTGCCCCGCCCCCAAGCCGCACGTTCCGATCGAGGAGAGTCAAAATTCGTAACCCCCCCGCAAACCAGCAACAAACAACCACGGTCCAACTCTCTGTCCTCGTCTTGGGTACAAAAAAGAACTATCCACACCCCCTCACAACTTCCTTCTCCCCAATATCCTTTTCCGTTCTCTTCAACCCACCCCCACACCCTGCACTGCCTCTATTACTGTAATCCCTGCGGATTTGGGACACTTATCAATTAGGATAAACCCGTTAAACCCCCACCAAGTAAACCGTAACCCTGTCCCTGCAGTTTTCCCCCCCCCAACGTTTGTCTTCCTCAGTAACCCAACAAATGCCAAACAACAAATTCCACACACCCTGCCTTTTAAGCGCGTTCCTTTTAGAGCTGTTTACTACCTGCTGACTGAAGTCGAAATAACACGGAAATAGATGTATAATTCTTGAGCACACGTGGAGAAACTTGATTTTTCTCTACAACTGATTTTTCATACCCACGAGTGTTTCCACCTGTAAAATAAATTATGACATCATGCTGTTTGTCACAATTTTTACCCAAGTATTGTTTTTAGTGTATGATACATCATCGACACACATTTGATTTTTGAAATGCCGATTGGCAGTATAAAAATTTCGTAAAGTAAACACACAAATTCCAGAGTTGCTTTACTTGCTTTGTTCTAGTTTCTATTACTGATGATGCTTGAATGTTTAACATTCGAGAAGTTCCGGCTTTTCCATTCCACCCCACCGCATTCCATTCCATTCCATCCAATTCACCATCTTTCCATTCCCCACACCACCCATTCCCACTCAACCAGTGCTCCTTCCTCTGTGCTGGCTTTCATTCCTGATCTCCCGTTTCCTTGATCTTCTTCACCACTCTTTAATGTCGGTTCTTCACACGGATTCCCATTCTCGTGTGGTCTTATTCCTCCGGTTCCAGTGGAATTGGGAAGCGGGACATGCCTTCTTCTGGGTTGAGAAGAAGGGGGAGTTGCCTGGCAAAGTTGTATTTCCTTCATCTCGCAAGTTGGTTTGTAATATTCCCGGAATCTTAATGTCCCTAGTCTAACCGTCCATAATGTATGGCGCGGGGAGCTTATTGGGGGTGTGGTTTGGGTGAGATATGTTTCCGTCTCGGGAGAATTCTGCTTGTGATGCATCCGCCATGAACTTTCTGTGTGACCAGATGAGGGAGGGAGGGAGGGGAGAATTAAGATATTCTTTCGGTCTCCCTTCCCTATCCTCTTCCTTCTCCCTTCCTCCCCTCTTTCTTGTCCCCCTTTCTTTTTTTTTTTTCTTTTTTTTTTTTTTCCTTTTTTTCCTATTCCTTTAATTGTGTACAAGGTTTGATGACACAAACTTTCACACTTGTAACAAACCAACAAAGGCGGCGGTAAAAGTAGGGGTATACATACACAAAGGTGGGTTTGTTTGGGCTTTACAATGACTGTGTGCCCCTTACCAGAGTGTAGGAGGAGTTGAATGTTATGTTTATCGCATAGGTAGGGGGACTGAGCTCCCTGTAACACCACCAATTATTTCTCACACCTGCACATTATTGTATTCCGCATGCTTTTGTTGGTTTTTTTTTCCCTTCACCCATGACGTCATAGTTAGTACAACCATACATGAGGCTGGTGATGAGTGTTTTATATCCTTAATGTGCTGGTAATTCTTTCCATAAAGATAACATTTAGGTTCTTGTCTTGCGCTCATGTTATATTTATTCTCCCCCCCCCCAACAAAGATTCCCCCCCCCTCTTAATTATATGAATTTCATCATTAACATAGGTATGCCCCTTTGGAACGCTTAGTAATTATAAACAGGCTTGTATAAGTTATGTATTACTATATGCCACTAAACTGGTATCTGGAGGGGTGGGTACTCTTCCCCACCCCACCCCCCCCCTCCCCCCCCCCCTCCCTCCCCCCCCCCCCCCCCCCACACCCTCCCCATCCCCCCCCCCCCCCTCCAACCCTCCCTTCCCTCAGCCCCCCTCGCCCCTCCCCACCCGCTCGCAATATTATAAATTGAAGGGTCAGAGTCATAGTGAGCCAACCCTCAAATATACAACTCTTAACCTGCCGTTTTCCTGGTATTAATCTCCTTATGGAACAAAAACCGCAAGAGTTGTAATAATCATTATTGAGGGTTGGCTCACTCTGACTCTGACCCCTTCATATACTATACTGACTTGAAAGTCATTGATTTTTCGTATAACTCAACCATGTTCACGAGAGCCCCACGCAATCCCTGCAGTAGAGTCATCCTTTTACTCGGAGGATATTGTTCAAGAGCCTGACCACCTTTTTGTAGTCCCTCCCCGTGAGTCCTCCCCATCCTGCCTCCTCCTCCCTCTCCCTCCCCTCCCTTCACTTTAGTAGAGAAAGTCCAGTCTTGATTGAAAGCGAGGGCTAATAATATAGAGTTGATGTGTTGTAACCAACACTTAGTGTCAGAATGGAATTTTTTTGTGCCGAGAGAGAATAGATGCGTATACTACAAGCATTATTTAGTCCTCATCAACACATACAGTTGACCGGCGACATTTGTCAATGCGCGATCGAGCACCAGTCCCACACCCATCTGTACTGTATGCTGTGCTACAAACGCTCGAGATCTGTCAACTAGAGCATGTTTGCACCTCAGGATGCGATTGAGACCGTGTTCATAGGGCCTCGGTGTTTATAGCTGCCACTTGGCCTCACTCGATCATTCGCACACTAACGGACGCACACACACGTTACTACTAGCCCTAGCTATAATAGCTGAAACACTGTAAACATCACATCAACTCAGCAATACAACACATAAAAATCCAGGAACCACCTGTCGAAGAATCGTCCGTCTGAGGTGAGGTGCTGGAGTCTGAGCATTACCAGATGGGCTAGGGTAGCTACTATCGGTTCGCTAAGCTTTTTCCTTCCTTTCCTTTTTGTCGAGCGCCAACGCTCAGTAAGAAGCTGCAGAATACTAGCTAACATCTGCATCTTACTATACGGTAGTAGCTAACCGTTTTCCAACGAAACTCCACAACACGCCACACACCTGTCTGTATATACTACTACCAACATTACCTGTGCAAGTAGCAGTCGTAAAGTACGTACTTACTTGATTCGCTCAGGCTCTGATCGCCAGATCCATCCACTCCGTCGTTCGCTCGCAGAGTAGCAGTCCTACGTACTACGCTGCGCGATCGACCGCGCATGCGTATTTCCACAATTTGTGCGCACGCCCGCGCATCCCCCGACCTGTACCACACTGAGCCTATGGTTTCCTCTATACATTGCCCCGTGCAACATGATCTTTAATAGCACTGTTACCAAATATAATTGTACCAACGACATAAAATAGGACATATATATAATACAATAGACAGACACATTATACACATCAACACACTCACTGCATGCGCACATGAACAATAGAGTTCTATTTCATCTTCCTGTGAAGGACGTGCTACGGAGTTTCACTGGAACTGGAGCTGTAGAATTCGTTGAAGTCCGATTCGAAACAGAGAAAGCGCAGCTTCTTGCTCTGAGTGGGAGTGACACTTGTGTCATGCAATCACACCACCTGTCCTGTATGATACATACCTGTATCAATCAGCACAAGACAGGAAGCAAACACCTGACCTTGAAGAGGTCGTAGAGGACGGCAAACTCCGAGTGAGCTTCGGGACAGTTTTCCCTCCTCGCAAACTGGCTCTCATCTCCATCTCCCCCTCCTCCTCTTTCTCTCTCTCCCTCACTCCCACACTCCTACACACATAACAAGCATAGCCACATATACAGGGTATTTCAACTGGCCAATTACACGGTAAACCTTCATCTTAAACACCTTCACTATACAACATATTATACTCCCTTCATCCACGCTCACTCCTATAGCTTGTCTTGGAGACAGACAGGAGAGGGATAAAAGATTGTCACACTCAAATTACACAAAAAACGAAACTTCGAGATGGTGTTGACAGTATACAGTGGTATAATTATACCTCCAATAAGGCACCCTCCGAGATAGACACCGCTCTAACAAGCACACTGTGTCAACTACTACTTAGTGTATTATTTGACCTCCAGACACGGATGACCTCTGTACAAAGCAAAGTGTGTCAACTAATACTTTAGTGTATTATTTGACGTCCGATGATAGTGTGGACCTCTCTCACAAGGGACAAAATCGTTGGCCCCATAGTTCCCTTGTTCGGAGGTTCTAACTGTATATACCTGTCTTTCTCTGGAGAGGCTCTGGAGGTCCCAGTCCCCTACGTCTTTCCATCCTCCCCAGGGCTGTGCCAACATCGATGTCTGCTTCTCTCTGAACGATATGATCAGATCAAATAGCATCCTCAGCAGACTCAGCAGTGCTGGGGAAAGAAAGAGAGATAAAGAACCGTGTGAACTAGATGTTATTTTTTAGAGTAAATTGAGGGGCGATTTTCTTCCCCTAAGGGCAGTACTATGCATTACCTATCTCATCGTCCATGTTATACATGCAGGAAATGGGAAGGCACCATCTCACCTACAGACAGATTTTATCGACCATTCTCGTGGTGTGCAAGCTGGCGCCGCTAAGACCTCGATCACGGCTTTACCTGTCCAGTCAGTGTTGAGAAGACTCTGCGAGGTGATTTGCGGAGAAACGAAAATGTCGTGTGCGGAGATGATCTGATCCAGTCTTCTGCTTCTCTACTTCTTCAGTAGACTGTCCCAGTTACCTCCATCACCTGCCAATACACACTGTTACAATATGCCTCTAACTGTAATGTAAGACAGTTGCAACAGAAGGGGAAGTATTATGATTTGTTTGAACCTGCTCACAGTCAACCACATTTGGTATAAGTTGTTATACATGTACGCAGTGTGATATCCGCACCTCAAAGATTGATGTAGTACTGGAGTTGGGAGATGAAGTGAACCATGGCTGATATCAGCAGGTGGCACTGGTGTACTACTGGATGCAGCTCTAGGTGAACAGGGGAGACGGCACAATGACATCAACCACAGGAATTTGAATTGAGAATGACAATCAGTGTAATAGAGGAATGGGAATCTAGAGTATGGGAACGAGTGAATGGAAGAATGGGAATCAGTTTATGGACGTATGGGAATGAGTGAATGAAAGAATGGGAATCACTTTATGGAAGTAGGGGAATGACTGAATGGAAGAATGGGAATCAGTTTATGGAAGTATGGGAATGAGCGAATGGAAGAATGGGAATCACTTAATGGAAGTAGGGGAATGACTGAATGGGAATCAGTTTACGTAGGACTGGAATCAGTGTATAGAGGTATGGGAATGAACACATGGGAAAACCAGAACCGTTGTGAAAAGAACAAGAACCACTGCATGAAAAACACATGTTGGTTGTACATCAGGTATGGAAGAACAGGTATGTACAATAATCTTGGAGGAACAGGAATTGGTGTATGACAGAATGGGGATGGACGTACCGGGTATGGACTGAAGTGACCGATAGTGGGGCCGTCTGTTCGTTCCAGACGTGAGAAGGTAGTACTGGACTCGTTTAGCTCTCCAGAGAAAGTTGAACACCTTCAGATACGTCAGCATGTTCTCCGCTGTGAACACCTGTGGGGGGGATTCAGGAGACAGTATTGTATGCAGTAAAAAACTGGTACATTGATTTATGGCACTTTTTAAACTTTTAGTAGAAAGCGCACTGAAGATTGTAGATCACTACGACAGGGTTCTCACTCACTGAAGTAGGTGAGTGTTACACAATGTAATGGTGAGAGTAGTTATGTATGCTAATGCAATAGTAATACTATATGTATGGTGAAAGTAGTACACATACAGTGCTGATGGGGCCGTCCACGTGGTACTGTAGAGAGAACACGTCCCAGCCCTGATCCTGCAGACTTGGTTCCAGTTTCTGAACGTCGAGACGTTTCAAGATGTCCGGGTCCTCAAACTGGGCATTGGTGGCCCTAATTGCCGTCTCTAGTGTCCCGGTGAGGTTATGGAGGTAGAGAGATACAGCTGGTTTCGACAGCTCTGGTCTGTATGTGTGTGTGTGTGTGTGTGTATGTGTGCGTGTGCATGTGTAATAAAGGACACATTTGACAATCACATGGCCTCAGTGTGATCTTAGTTAGAGGATTTGGATCCCCCAAAAAATCTTGCGTCAAACGAAAAAGAGTCCGCAAGTCATTTACTGAGATATTATTTTTCACACTCTTAATTATACGTGTGGGTGTCCGTGTTGGGGTACGTAACAAGGGTACAACGAGGTTCACAACAATACTGAAAGTGAAAGTGATCACTCACGCCAGAAGGTCCATAAGATGTCTTATGAGATCCCCTTGTCCCAGCAACAGATACTTCCGAATAGCCTATACAATATTAAAGTCACACCGAAAAGGATAATAAACACTTAAACGTGCAGTTAAACTTTAAAACCAGTGTGCTCAATTGTCATGAGTTGCCTTCAATACCTATAGTAGTATGAAAAGATGTATATTTTGTGGTGTGTGTGTGGTTGGGTAAAGAGTGTACCCCATAATTTACTGCCTATATAAGTGTGTTTTGCACAAGCGATACTCATTTAATTGCTACCAAAACACCTTTCAACACCTTTCTGATATACATAAACAACTAGACAATACTATCAAACATTGCATTTTGGTACAGTTACAAGCACATAGCATCCTGCAGCTAAACTATAGAGTTTAGTCAAACCATATTGATTATTAGCAATACTGGAGATGTTTCCCAAAACTGTACTTGGTGTTCATTATTTGGAGTAAATGTCTGCTGGTCTCTGTGTAGGTTTGAGCCACGACTGACTGCAGAGATGATCCAGTCATGGAGGAGAACGTTACCTCCCCTGGACAGGAAGGGAGGGAGAGAGGGAGGGAGGGAGAGAGACGAGAGAATGAGCAAGAACGTGTGGCGAAACATGAGTGTTGCATGTGTCAACTATGAGTAGAGGCAAAGGACGGGCAAAACACACAACTAGATAAGACAATGGTGGTTTAGTTTATAGTTGGTTGAGTACAGTTGTCAGTTTATGTAGTGTGTGATCAGTTAGTTGGTGAGTATGTGTGTAGAGTTGTCTGAGACTGGTGAGGAAGAAGCAAGGACGAGAGGGAAGGAGGGAGAGAGGGATGGAGGGAGGAAGAGAAGCTGACCACTCTCAGTGGTGAACCAGAGACGAAGTGAAGGGCTCCAGAGGGGTGTGTGGTCATGACACACCTGCCGAAGGAAATTGATGGACTTCCCAATTATCAGAATCTGGAAGGAGGGAGAAACAAACAGAACAATTCATTAAGAGCCTCCAAAACTAACTACTCAATATTGATCATTCTTTGCCAAATCTTCTGATATGAAAGAAGGAACCAGGCGCTTGCTCAACTTGCTGTACTTTGACTCCACAGTCTTATCCGGCTTCGACAGAGAGAGGCGCACGAAACGATGAACGCTGAGAAATGGTCGACGAATTACTCGTCACAGATCCCGGCGTGTCAGGATCGCATTGAGTGGCTGGTTCTACCTATGATATATGTGTCAGTTTAGAGAGTGAGCGTGGAAGAAACGAACCGCGGTAGAGTTCGGTACGGGAGTTGCGTTAAAAGGCAGCCGAGGGGTTTAATGCATGTCTCACAACTCGGTAGCGAGGCTAGTAGGTTAGCAAGGCAAGGCAAACAGGTCAACTACACCAGGCAGCTCTTTCTATTTCACAGGTGGAGGAGGAGGGATAGGTGTCACAGCACTCACTGTCTAACTTAAACAAGCGCCTTGCGTGTAAACTAGGGTGGCCAGGCTGAAAATACCGGACGCACCGGAAGTCAAAATTTCCTACCAGCCTTGCAGGCGTTTAGCCAGAAGATGTGATTCTACTGTGTCGGTGCCCACTATTAGAACCTTGTCAGGATCTAGTGAGGATGGGAGCAGCTGTACGGGGCTCCATGGTGACTGTAGCGAGATGACGAGGGCGACTAGTAGAGCACCTCCTTTCTGCCCTGCAAGAGACAGAGAAACAGAAAGAGGAGATGCAGAGGGAGAGCAGAAGTCATACCAACAGAGGCAGCGAGTGTATAGGAGAGGAAGAGAGAAGCTGCCGGTCAAATTGCACAGTTTGAGAGTCATCTGCATGTGAAACTCTGTGGGGAGGGGGTTACAATTTTGTATCGCGCAGCCGTGGCCAATGGCATCAGTGAAGTTACTTTCCCGGCTATATATGGTATAAGGCCTCCGATAGGCTGGCAGCTACTGTACGTGTACCTAACGTGTATATCGATCACTGAGCAATAAGGGCATTGATTTGCGGATGGCTCACAAATTCACTCCTTCCGACTTGAGACACACTACTAGACTAGATGGTAGTGCTAACCTTTGCAGGCTCCAACCAACACAGCTTCAGACACACTACTAGACTAGATGGTAGTGCTAACCTTTGCAGGCTCCAACCAACACAGCCAGATACTTTAGTCTCTCCAGAGGATCGTGGGTCCAGACGAGGAGTCTTATACGGAGAGTCAGTTGGCCCCGCCCACTCCCTGCAGGGGGGACCGCCGCAGTCTGGGGCTGCTGTTGAGCCTCCAGAACAGCTATCAGTTTATAGAACTCCGTGAGCTCCTCCGAGAGGGCAGAGCAGCAGAAACTCAGCCTTGAGCGAGAGGAGGTGCAAAAGGAAGAGAAGAGGGGGAAAAAATCAACAGTAGAAAGAGGTATGGGCCAACATACACAAGAAACTCGTGCTTCACAAAAGTGTTCTCTTGTTGTGCAGCACATCCTAACATGGGTATGATTGGAGTGTCTAGGAAATAGACACGCCACCTATTTCTGGCAACTTGTTGCCTGGGCCAATCACTTTCGAAGTTTCTGCAAAAGTTCTCATGTATGCTGAAGGGGAGTAGTGCAGTATTAAGGCTAAATTAGAAACATGTGGTACTAACAAACAGAACCGTTCTTAATTTGCAGTTCTTGACTGTGCCCCTATGTTGGTGTTCTATCTTATATCTAAATTTAGCCCTTATATACTGCCAGATATACTATAATAAGGAAAGGAAGGAGGGAGGGAGAGATGAAATTATATACAGATGGATAGCAATAAGACCACACTAGTAATGTAATATGGAGCAGACAGCAAGTAAACTATATAGCATAAAGACTAATATCTCTGATATCAGCACCGACCCTAATCTTATAACAATTAACCTAATTAGTTTTCGTAAATATTGGTTTTAGCTCGCCACGGAACACCTGCCAGCCGCATTCGATAACCCTCTCATCCCGGACGCAGTACATACTGTACACATGCCATCACTGTAGCTTCTCACTCCTAGTGTACCTGGCAAACGAGACCGAGTGACTTGTTGTGGGCCCGAGAGTCTACGAAAGTCCGGACCTTGCGAAAGAGCCAGCCCACCTCACAGAGACGGTGGACAATGTCTCTCACTGACGGACACACCTGAAACTGTACATAATAAACACACACATAATGAAGGACATATTTTATTAACTGTAATGGGCGGCCGCATGCTAGTATATATACAATACATGAGGAAGGGGAAAATAGGTACAGTATTAGCTCAAGACTTAGTTGAGATATTTGTATTGAAACAAAGCCTTCCGAAATGTAATGCGTTGATGCATAAATTTTGGATGCACAAATATTTTGGCGAGCGTGAAGCGAGAGCTACAGAAATATTTTGAACATAATTTCGCAAAATATACAGCAGTCCATAATCCAGACACATGAGCAGTTGAACGTCCTATGTATACACCACTGTATGCAAATAAATCGCGCCATTCAGACCACTAAGTCAAACTCGTCAATAAATAACACTCTTAACCCAAATTGATGTATAAAGTGTTAGCACCTAGTATTATAAATTATTATGGACTTATGGGGGCTCTGGACACATTTACAGTATGTGTCCGTGGCTAGTTAAGTGTGAATGGTCCGAGCATGTGCACCTTTCTTTACTGTGCATGTATAGACATACGTACCTTGCTGCTGATCCTGAAGGCGTCCAGCTTGCTGTCGAAGTGAATATAGCGACCGTCGATGCCCTGGAAGACAAAGAGGACGTCTCTCAGGAGAGCTGATTCAGAAACTACCTCTGTCTGGGCTAACGGGGAAAGAGGGGAGAGGGGGGATTACGAACACAGAGAGAGTCAGTTGGCAAAGCTTACTTAGATATGATTATGTACACCTTACGGCAAAGTTATATACAAAGATGAACATCGGAATACTCTGAACACCTACAAGTGTGGTCATTGGACTTGGTGCTCCGGTAGCCATTGGGTAAAACCCTCTCATTAGGAGTACCAGCAGACGACCTCGCCCAAGCATCATGTGCTCCATGACGGCGGGACAGGTCGGCCACACCCGTCGTCTGTGGTGTGGAATGGAAACGTGGGAATGGAGTGGCCAGAGATGATTGACTGAGGTGAGAGAGAGAGAGAGACAAAGATCACAGTTAAAGTGAATATGTATGTGGCAGTACTGTATTTTAGTAATAATTATTTAGCCCTTGTATACTGCCAACTAGTGAATGCATTGAGCTTTCTCGCGACAAAAAACACATCCTCGCAACGTTTCGGCTCTATTAGCACTGTCTTCTTCAAGCGGACAGAGTAAAGGGAAAAGTATATACCTGATGCCAGGATCTCTCTGGGTTATAGTTGAGTTTGATGTCATGTGACCCATCTGCGATGTCATGTGACTCGGAACTGAAGTCATGTGACTGGTCCCCAGTGATCCGATCCCACTGGAGCCAACCAGCGTGTGAGACTCAGAGGAAAACGGGTCTCTCCTCCCCGTCCTTGTGGCAGATGAGGAGGGTGGGAGGGAGGAGGAGGGAGGGAGGGAAGAAGGGTTAGGAATGACACCCATGTGGTCGTATAGTCTCCCAGTCTGTGATAGCAGAATTGAGCTCTGAAAAGAAGGGAAAAAGTGGGAGAGACATACTATTACGTACGTACATAGCAATAGTGTATACACCAATCTAAACAAAAACTAACTGAAGTGGAACCGCCAGTAGTAAGAGAAGGGGAAAAGTGGGAGGGACCTAGCAATTTGCTGAAGAAAAGCTTATCTAATGCACAGACCAACAGTATATACTGAATCTAGCAAGCTAACTAAATAGGATCAAAAGTAGTTAGAAAAGGAAAGACAAATGCGTATCTATTGCATAACACCAACAGTGCTAATGCCGTAACACCAACAGTGCTGATGCATAACACCAACAGTGCTGAGCTAACCAAAGAGGATCCACTAGAGAGAGTGGAATCTTCTGAAACAGTCAGGAGGAAGAGCAAGATGTGACCACATCTCCTCAGTGTCCCCTACAACAAACAGAAATGAAGTAAACGTCTGATTACAAATTATGAGCGGAGAAAAATACGAGAGAGACTTGTCACAGTGTGAAAAAGTATGGAGATCAAAAGTCAGCTCATCTCGAGGTCTTACTTGAGCACTTAGCCGCTGGTTTAGTTCCAGAAACGTCACCGCATCTTTCTCTCTCTTTTCCCGAACCACTGTAACACAATACGAGCATACTCACTTCTTAGTCTTATAAGGGAAGCATGCGCTGTACAATCTCACCAAAAATACTCGTAAATGAATCCAAAAAACTTACATTTTCTCTGAATCCTTTCGGAAATCTTGAATTCGTCTTCTATTCCACTACTAGATGCAGCTATTCCACTGAATATTCAATACTCAGTCAGGAAAAGTACATTTATATGATAACCTCTCACCTTTCTAATATCGTGAGAGCATGAAAGTAAAGGGTGGGTATGTGGCCTGTGTAGAAAAGAATGTTGGTGCGCATTAAATAAAGTGAGCGGGTCGTGTCGCTCACTTGTTTCCCTGCAGTGAAGTGAGCAGAGAGTATGGAGCAGTTCTGTCGCTCTGGCCTCTTCCCTCGCCGGTCTCTGCCGCCTCTGCGCAGCCATGAGCGCCTTGCCCTTGAACCCGCAGGAGAATTTTTACTCTTCCCGCGAAAAATTTGTTTGTGCACGTGACCAATTCAATTTTACCGATCGCTCGCGCTCTCGCTCGCTAGCTAGCTCGCTCGATCGCTTCGCGCACACGGATAATTAGAGACGAGGTTCACCGGAATACCGCCCCTACCGCGCGTATAATACCACCTTAGCTGACAAGTGGCCAGGAGCTGCACGAGCGTGCTTTTTCGCAAGTCTTCAGCCAAGAAAACAGCTTTGCAAGCAGGTGAGGCTAAAAACGTGTGCACCGTACGAAGCGATGTAAGTATCATATAGAAACCCGGTAGAATCAAGTAAAATTTTTCTTCGTCGTTTTCCACACCCCGCGGCCAGCAGGATAAGATGTCGACGTCAGTGAGCGTGTTCGACGAGGAGCGATTCCAGAACGCCATTGCAGACGTCAGGGCGGACTCCGTGCAGACAACATGGTGCGTTTTGTTCAGCTAGCTCGAAATTGTTCACTAATTTGCCTCAATTTTGTGACATTTTTTGCACCCACTTTAGCTTCGTTAGTGTACGCACAAAGTTGTGTACGCTTTTTCCAGCCTTGTTTATTTTCGTGACCTGGATTCCGTGCAATAGGCCTACTCAGTAGCTCTTGCTAGTTCATCGCCCACGTTTCTACGTACCACTGTACCATGCAGTTCATTGACTAGATGGGGCAGGGGCATAGCATATGTTGTATGCAGCTGTGCCCGCACGCCCTTCACTATAGGGTCATTGTCACACTCTCCTATTATGTAGGTATCAGTACATGGCAGCATTGACGGTTTAGAAGAGTAGAATACAAAGTACTGCTGTTGGTGTAGTACCATTCTCCGTTTGCATAGGTGGCTTTTAGGGTTCAGAGTATGCTCAGGGTTATGGATTTTAGGTAGTATGACAGAGCAAGAGGAAGTGGGGAAGGGAAAGTGTGGGCAAGTGTTTAGCATTCTCTGGCACTGCTGATGAAGTGGTTTGGGTCATCGTTTTCAGCCTCCAAATATATACTTCAATCGTGTGTGTGTGTGTGTGTGTTGAATGTTTGTGAAGTGAGGCATGTCCCATGACACATGTTACATGGCTGCTTTGTGGTTAATTTAACGCCTCTCCTCCTCAAATCCCACCCTCCCTCCCTCCTTTCTTCCCTCTTTCTCTCCTTCCCCACAGGGCCCTATTTGCCCACCATGAGAGCAGCCCCAATGTAATAGAGTGTGTAGGAGATGGTTCAGGTGACCTGAGTGATATGGTTGACCTCATGGATGATGCCCAGTTCATGTATGGTCTTGGTAAGCCTCTAAACAATCTCCCTGTCTATTGTGTCCATATTTTTCTCGCCCTTATGAAGTGTGAATATAATTTTAAATTTGTCCAGCCCATTCTTTACTTGTGTACTGTGTAAAATTCATCAGTCCCTTCTTTTCCCTCCCGTTCTCTACCAGTATTGTACAGAATTTCACCATTTCCCGTCTTGTTCTTGTCTCTCCCCTTTTTTCTTCCTCCCCCCACCCCACTGTCTTATCTTCCTTCTCTCTCCTCTTTTCTCTTCCTCCCCCCACCCCACTGTCTTATCTTCCTTCTCTCTCCTCTTTTCTCTTCCTCCCCCCACCCCACTGTCTTATCTTCCTTCTCTCTCCTCTTTTCTCTCCTCCCCCACCCACTGTCTTATCTTCCTTCTCTCTCCTCTTTTCTCTTCCTCCCCCCACCCCACTGTCTTATCTTCCTTCTCTCTCCTCCTTTCTCTTCCTCCCCCAACCCCACTGTCTTATCTTCCTTCTCTTCTCCTCCTTTGCTCCCCCCTCTGCTACAAAAATGTGACAGTTCGATTAGAGCAGGCTTTTGACATGTCCACGACCGTCAAGTTTGCATACGTCATTCTCGGTGGCAAAGATGTCAAGTTCGTGAAAAGGGGAAAGTTTGGAGTCGTCCAAGGAGCCATTGAAGGCCTTTTCAGTGTAAGAATACCCTTCACCCACCTTTCTCTCCCTCCCCTACATCTAAAGAAGTGGTCAATAACACGAGAGTGGTTGTGGTTTTATCTGCAATCTGACCCAGCCGTTTTCTACTGACAATGACCCTATAGCGAAGGGTGTGTGGTCAGCTCCATGCATTGTTTGTTGAGCGTACTTTCTGAACGGTCGACCTCTTAGCCTTGATGTGCACGGTGCCTGATTTTTGTAGATGAAGTATAATTATACAGCTGGCTTTAGTGAGGTATGAGTGAGATTCTGTATCATTTACACGTCGCAGAATAGCTACAGTCAAACTTTGAATAAGTGACACCTTTGGGGACATTAAAAGTGCAGAGGTGCCCCTTATTCAGAGATAGAGAATGTTATACACCAACGCTATTAGCATGAGGTATATAGAAAAGAGAGGTGTCCTTTTTTCTATAGAGATTTGATTTCATACAGGATAAAAGATGGAATGAAAGACAGCTCAATTGTATTGCGAACCGTTCTTGTGATGTATGTACTGCATGAAAGCATGGGAGTTGGCATATGGTTGGGGGTGAGCTGCTCTGGAATGATGGCTGAATATGGGCATGTGGAGCTGCCTGCTTGCATTCCAGGGCACACACTGGAGGGTGGAAGGAAGTGGAATGTCTATGGTATGCTAGTGTATGCTGTTGATTGGGTTTTGCACCCTCTTTCCTCTCTCCCTTATTCCCTCCCCTCTCCCTCCCCTCCTCCTCCTCCTATACATCTCTCACTTCCTTCTTCCTTCCCTCCCTCCCTCCCTCCCTAGCCCTATCACATTGTGGTTGAAGTGGACACCAAAGATGACATCACTCAAGAACTAATTGAGACAAAGCTACAAGAGACAAGGTACATAGACATATCGTGTGCTAATTTGGACACCTAGTGGGACAGACAAAAGTGTCCGTATTGGTTTCGTGCATGCAAGAACTTTCGTGGGGGGAAAAAGGTGTCCTTATTAGAGAGGTGTCCTCATTTCAGGGGTGTCCTTATTAGAGAGGTGTCCTCATTCAGGGTTAGAAAGAGGTTCCTCAGTACACACTGAATGACCCACATACTCCACGTGATAAGTGATCATTG